AAAACAATAGTTAGTGGGCGGCCAAAATTTTTCTAAGTTACTCTGTTTCGAGTGGCGCGGCTGCCGGCACGATGGCATGGCTGCCGGCGAGCTAAAATTCGGCGCGGCTGCCGGGACTGCCTTCGGCACGGTTGCCGGCGCAGCTCAGACGGGGCCGGGGAGGCCAGATTCGACACAGGTCCATGCATCCACCTGAAATCCGCGTGGATTCCACCTGGAATTCGGGTGGAACGCATGGAAATCGGGTGGAAAACGGGTGGACGCAGTGGAAATCGAGTGGAAACACGACGCAACGCGGGCCCCGCGTTGCGTCGCGGCAAATGGAAATCGAGTGGAAACCGAGTGGATCCACTTGGTTTCCGCTCAATTTCCATGCGTTCCACCCGGAACCCACTCGATTTCCATGTGGAAACCACTCGCGTCCGCTCGTGGAATTCCCCTCGATCCCCTCGGGGATTCCGAGTGGATTTCGGGTGGATGCACTGACCTGTGGGCACGGCTGCCGGCACGGTATTTGGCGCGGCACGCTTGCCGGCACACCGCTGTCGCTCGCCGCAACGCGTCAAAACTTAGAAAAATTTTGGCCTGGCGCTAAATACTGTTTTTGTTAAAATAATTCCTCAAAACTTATTATATTGCTGCATTTATGTCATGTCCAAGAAGGAATATGCACTACGCTTCAGCTACGCGGTTTCTTACTTACCAGCCGATTACAGCCGCGTCGCGGCTGTAATCGGCTGGCCTTCGGGCTACCTTCCATATTCTACACCACCACATTCCTTCTCTAACTTTATCAATATCGGTGCTGATGGCTCCAAATACGCCCCATAGCCGAAATCCCCTTAAAAAACTACTTACAAGGGAAGGGCACGCTCACAGGGTGGAGTTTCGAAAAACGCTCGCGGCTACCCCCGGGTAATCGACTACGGAGAACACGATGCCGCTGTCCGATTTTGCTACGGAGGCCTGTGGACAGAGATACAGCACTTCCGGAAAATGATGATTTCCATGTGAAAAATTAGCATTCGGGGGAAGCCTTATTAGGGTCTCCCATGAATATGGTACCACCAGTTGAATGGCCGAGTGGTAAGCAACTAGCTTGATAGGATAGTGACCAGGGTACGGATCCTCTCACGAGTTTTTCGTTTTGCCCTTTGACAATTTTTTTTTGTACAAGTCCAGAACCTTGTCTAAATGTGTGAAAAGCCACCCTTGATGCCGTATGATACGTTCAGCGAACAAACAAAAACCTTTTCGAAAAATTTTATTTTCCGCCCTGCCACCCATCTACCCATCGGCTTGTCAGACGATCCAAAATTTAACAATTTTTTTAAGATCGTTGTCTTACCAATTTTACCGGGACCCTACAACAGTGGAAAGTGGAACAACCCAAACAAGCGGACGACCTTTGGCTTCTGCAAGAAATTGGTCCCCCACATTTTTTTGATGGTTTCACAAGCCGATGGGTGGCAGGTCGGAAAAATAAAATTTTTCGAAAAGGTTTTTGTTTGTTCGCTGAACGTATCATACGGCATCAAGGGTGGCTTTTCACACATTTAGACAAGGTTTTGGACTTGTACAAAAAAAGTTGTCAAAAAGCAAAACAAAAAAATCGTGAACGGATCCGTACCCTGGTCACTATCCTATCAAGCTAGTTGCTTACCACTCGGCCATTCAACTGGTGGTACCATATTCATGGGAGACCCTAATAAGGCTTCCCCCGAATGCTAATTTTTCACATGCAAATCACCATTTTCCGGAAGTGCTGCATCTTTGTCCACAGGCCTCCGTAGCAAAATCGGACAGCGGCATCGTGTTCTCCGTAGTCGATTACCCGGGGGTAGCCGCGAGCGTTTTTCGAAACTCCACCCTGTGAGCGTGCCCTTCCCTTGTTAGATACGTTCCTTATGGCTTCAGATACCCCCCATAGCTGAAATCCCCTTCAAAAACTACCTAAATACCTTCCGGATGGCTTCAGATACCCCCCACAGCTGAAATCCCCTTCAAAAACTACCTAAATACCTTCCGGATGGCTTCAGATACCCCCCACAGCTGAAATCCCCTTCAAAAACTACCTAAATACCTTCCGGATGGCTTCAGATACCCCCCACAGCTGAAATCCCCTTCAAAAACTACCTAAATACCTTCCGGATGGCTTCAGATACCCCCCACAGCTGAAATCCCCTTCAAAAACTACCTAAATACCTTCCGGATGGCTTCAGATACCCCCCACAGCTGAAATCCCCTTCAAAAACTACCTAAATACCTTCCTGATGGCTTCAGATACCCCCATGGCTGAAATCCCCTTCAAAAACTACCTAAATACCTTCCTGATGGCTACTTACCTACTTTACATACCTACGAGTTCCATTCGCTATGCCGAATTTTGCTATGCCGATTGACGCTGTGCCGATTTCCGCTATGCCGAATTTTCACTATGCCGAATTTTCACCATGCCGAATTTTCACTATGCCGATTTCCGCTATACCGAATTTTCACTATACCGAATTTTCACCATGCCGATTTTTACGATACCGAATTTTCACCATGCCGAATCTTCGCCATACTAATTTTGATAAGCGGTATGTTCCCCATTTTTTTTTACTATTTTTCCAAATATCATGGGCCTAGAAAGTTAGAGTTAGCCTTGGAATTCCCAAAAACTCGGGCAGATCGTAGGTCCCATAGGCGCAGTAGATTTTTTGTTGCACCGCTAAGTCCCAGTCGATCTTAGTTATTAACATTAGTAGAGTAGAAAAAATTAGTAGGAAAAAATTCGGCATAGCGAAATTCGGCATAGCGAAAATTCGGTATAGTGAAAATTCGGTATAGCGAAATTCGGCATAGTGAAAATTCGGCATAGTGAAAATTCGGCATAGTGAAAATTCGGCATAGTGTAATTCGGCATAGCGAAAATTCGGCATACCAATAATCGGCATACTGTAAATCGGCACAGCGAAAATCGGCACAGCAAGTATTTACCCATACCTACATACCTTAACTACTTAGACTACATCCCGATACTTAAAATGATTTAAATAATGAATTAACATAAATAAAAAGTATTAAAAAGAATAAAAATAACTGAAAAAAGCTATCTGGGGGACGGAAGGCCCTGGGGAAGAGGGGCGAAGGGAAAGGGGGCGTGGCCTGTCGGGGAGAGGGCCCCCACTCGTTTTATTAAGGCGCCATTATTTTTATTTAAACGAAAACTTTTTTATAATGTTTTGATCATTTAAGGGGTTTCTGACCATGCTCTATCCGAATCCGAAGAGAGCTAAGCTCTGGCTCCTTTCCCCTTCGAGTTATAGTTGGCTTCAGACAGACTGACTGACTGACTGACAGACGGACACCACAGCAAAATTATTATAGTTGATAGGTATAACTTGGTTGTTATACGCTTGAGATTTCAGGTGAAACCTTTAGACCACAACTGTGAGGCAAGAAAAGTCGATCAGCATGCTTCATGGTCGAAGAACTGACTGAATTGATGATATCTAGCAGGTACATTGCTAATCGAATTTAGATAGAAGCTTTTCGATCGGCAATCCTGCCCGGTAGCTTATTGAGATTGAAAATTTGGATATTTGCTTCATGTTACGAACAACGATTGTGTGGTGGGTATAATTTACCATTTTTTTTCAGGCGTTGCACCCGAAGTGGTGGTTTTCTGACGCCGGAATTAGTTTTCAATGTTGAGTGATCCGCTAGACAAGCTACAGAGACTGAGGAAAGTAAGTAGTTTTGAACCGCTGGAGCAATCATCGAATAGGATCTAGTTACTAGGCCAACACTACAAGATGCTGGACACGCCTATCTTCAACGTTTAATCGTAGGTTCACCAAGAAAAACACTGGCTCCGATTTATCAACAACATAAAACCAAAGAAACCAACTAATTTAGTTATTACGGCGGCTCCCGTTTCAACTACGCGACGGTGACGGTGACATGCTTCAATCCCCCACTTAAACGCAATAACTAAATAAGCAATGCTGCTTTTGTATGCCGAAAATAAGCGTAAGGTGCGCCGGCAGCCGTGCCACAGCCATTTTTGGCCCAGTTGCCGGCGCGGCGTGCCGGCAGGCGTGCCATGGCACGGCTGCCCGGCGCGACATTCGGCAGCCGTGCCGAAGGTGTGCTTGCAGCCGCGCCACTCGAAACAGAGTATGATGCGTTGCGGCTCAGCGACAGCGGTCTGCCGGCAGCCGTGCCTTGCAGCTGTGCCGGCAGCCGCGCCGATGATATGCCAGCAGCCGAGCCAAATCTGCCCTGTTTGCCGCCTCCCGAGGTGTGCGGTCCGCCGTGCCAGAAGCTGTGCTAGCAGCCGCGCCGCGTTTTGGTTCGCCAGCGACCGTGTAGCAGCGCCAGCAGCCGTGCCGGTGGGCGTTACCACGCCGGCAGGTGCGCCCCTCGCAACAGAGTAGCCTGCGGCGATAGCTTGTGCGGCTGGCTTCGTTCTACAGGGTGTCCCAAAAAAACAACCAATCTAGCATTTCGCTTAAGAACTGGGGTAGTTTTGCGTTGTAAAAATTGCTTAAATCGAAGCTTATTTAATTAATTTTACTCTGGAAAAAATTTCTTAGGGTAAAGAAGGCCTAAGTGACTAACTTCATAATAACGTCCCTACACGGAAATCCACTCCGAAACGCACCTTCCGAGCAAAAGCAAAACAACTACGATATCCGAGAATCGAACCTCCGATGGTTAGGTTAGGATGGCGAAGCGTTAACCACTACACCATGAAACGCTTGGGAGCACGCGCCAAACATCCCTTTTATGTAGTTGTGTTAAATCTGATGCCCAGCATATTTAAGCATTCTGGCATGGTAACGCACGGTGAAATATTTTTCTTTCTCGACAAAATCGGCGACAAACTTCGGAACTTTTTTTTTGATACACCCTGTAAATCGAAATTTTTCAACAAATTCTTGAGAATTTTTAATGATTACCATTTATTGGAAAACCACAAACAAGTCAGTACTTTAATATAAGTCGAGTTAATTCTTCTTTTTCTTTTGGTATGCCGAGAATCCGAGGGGCGGCCACTTCTTCTCAAAGTTGCACACCGTGCACGGGACTAAACAAGATTTTCAGGTGACAACGAGGAGCTTACCGCGCGCCGGATGGTCCTCATGGTTCTCGATTTTGCTGAGATACGTCCTCGACGCCTTGCTGGAAGTGAATTATCCTTGCCGTTTTTTGGTTCACATCAAATAGCGGGGGGTGCTTTTAAGACTATGAAAAAGCTCTTACAATTAGTACGTTTTTATTTTATTGGAGTTTTCAAATTATCGGAAATATTGTAAAAGAGCTGATCTACTATAATAATTTTGCTGTGGTGTCTGTCCGTCATGTCCCGAATTCAACTCGAAGGGGGAAGGAGCTAGAGCTTAGGTCTCTTCGGATTCGGATAGAGCGTGGTCAGAAACCCCCAAACTGATAAAAAAATTATGAAAAAGTTTTAATTTAAATTATTAAAATTAACTTTGCAAGTTTTTTCCTTAGTAAAAGGGGTGGGGGACGGAGTTTGGGGTGATTTTGGACATAGTGAGCCAGGTGGCGCGCGTTTCGTCGATGAAAATTTTCACGGGGGATTTCATTTCTTTTTTTCTCTCATTCCATTCGGTCGGTCGTTATTTTCGTTTTTTTAAAAGGATTTCGGCTAGGGGAGGTATCTTAAGCCATCGGGAAGGTATTTAGGTAGTTTTTGAAGGGGATTTCGGCTAGGGGAGGTATCTTAAGCCATCGGGAAGGTATTTAGGTAGTATTGTATTTAGGTAGTATTGTAGTATTGATGGAGGTGGTAAAGGATGTCGTGGAGTTGGACATAGCCCGAAGGCCAGATGGTTGCAGTCGCGAAGCGACTGTAACCATCTGGTATTCTATAGCTGAATTCTTGTTATGTTAACCAAATTTTTGTGCTATAAAGTTTGAATTACATTTTTTCGGATTAAAAATTTGCCTGGTTGACTTTTGGTACTGGACTATTAGCAGGGGGGGGCATCAGGAAGGTCAAACGGATTTTTCCTTGGATTTTATCGGTTGGGAAAACTACTTCTTGTTTTTTTTTGTTTTGGTACGCTTATCTGGTATATGTCGGCTACGCGGGGGGGAAAATTTTACGCGGGGGGGACGGACTGTTGGGGCCGAACTAACTATTTTTTTGCGTTTCTCTTTGCTACAAACAAAACTCTTATTATATTTTTCGACGCTCTGTCGAATGGCACTAAAGAAATTTTGTAAAAATGTCGAAAATGTCGAAAACTTGATTTCTTTCTATGCCCTTCATCGAAACAACGTTTAATACTAGTTTTTGTTATAACTATTTTATATTACATTATTTTGAGCTAAAATTAAAACTCTTAGTATATTTTCGGATGCTCTATCGAATGGCATCTTTAAAATGTCGAAAAAATAGCGTGAATGTCGAAAAACAGCCGCTGAACCCGATTTTCAAAGCTTATTTTTGTATTTGCCGTAACTTTTTTATATTACACTAATTTGAGCTAAAACAAAAACTCTTAGTATATTTTTCGATGCTCTATCGAATGCCGTCGCAAAAATTCCGAGAAAATAACGAAAACATCCAAAAAAGCCTGCTTGTCCCGTCCCCCCCGCGTAAAATTGTCCCCCCCGCGTAGCCGACATATACCCGCTTATCTGTTGTGTATTTTTGGCTTATTGCAATTTTGTGGAAATCTCAATTTGTCGAAAATTCATTTGATCGAAATTTCATTTTGCCGGAATGTTTAAAAAAAATAAATAATCGAGACGAAAACGGGATTGAAATTTCGACAAAATGGTTTTCGACAATCGACAACATTGACAAACAGACAAAAAGGCATCGGCGGAAATACCAAAAAATAGTTTCCCCCCACTGATAACTCCCCCCCCCCTGCTAACAGTCAAGTACGAGGGAAGCTACATATTCTGTGGAATCACGAAAAACTTGCGTGTAGGATTTCGCACAGGGTGTGCACAAGGCTGGACCGTAAAACTTGGTCACCATCTGCTGTCCGATCTCGGGCGGGCAGTTCACACAGGTTCCTTTCTGAAAGCAGCTATTTTTACAAGCGACTGAGCATGGATTACCACTAGAGTTGGCTGTCCACCTCGTGCTCGCACGATCGACTCTCGTCGCGCCTGCAACCCAAGCATAGCAAGGTTGATTATTATTGGTCATTAGTTAGTTCTTATAGAATAGACTGGGTCACCCGAAAAACCCCCTGGTTCTTTCGCATTATCGGGGGGGGGGCAGTTTTTGGTTATAGAAACTCCCAGAAACTTTAATTTAGGAAGTAGTTTAATAATGTTTTTAGCAAAACAAAACTAAATTTCAACCAGAAAAAATCTCTAAAACATTCAAAAAGTTTCCAAAAAGCAAAATTTTTGGTCAAAAACGGCCTTATTTGGTCGAAAAATCGATGTTTTTGTATTTTTAAATAGAGAGTTGTAAAGTTTTTACGTTTAGGATGAGTCAAAACAGTTTAAAAACACTTCTGCTATTTATATTTCAAAAATTAAATTGATAACCCCCCGATAATGCGCAAGAACCGAGTGGTATTATTAACTCCGATAAGCCCCCCCCCCCGCAAATGGGAAAGCACCCCCTTTTCTTCTCCGAAGCTTGGCACAAGCCAAACAAAAGCGGGTATGCGGCTTTTCGACAATGATAAGCATCTGTTTTTCTGCTTTTCCCATGCAATGCTGTGAATTTGTTGCTTCGTGTACACCAGGTGGTTGCCATGCAAAAAAACGTAAGATAGATGATAAAACGTTTATTCAAATCGGGTCACTAGTTTATCCTGGCCTCACAACGTCGCAGAGCTTGGTGAAGATTTCCTCCTTGACGGCCGAGTAGAAGGGCTGGAAGTCCTCGTCGGCGGGAGGCTGGGTAGGGGTGGCGGGAACGGCGGTCATCATTTCGGACGACTCGTCCAGCAACGACACGGTCAGCAGCGACGTTTCAAACTGTAAAACCGTGGTGTTTAGGTCGGGAGTTGGGCAAATTCTTTTCCTTCTTTCCATTGTTACTGATATAGCTAGAGGAAAGAGCAAAGCCTAAACTGACACACTCGAAGCCTAACGTAAGCCTGCCTGATCGAAGCTAAGTCAATCATAAGTCTAAATCTAAGCATACTTAAGCCTAAGCCTAGCTTGCTTACCGAATCAGTAAACGCTGGTGACCGGGCAGACGACCAACTGGAGCCTCTCGAAGAGGACGATGGTGGTGATGAAGGAGCAGAAGATGTAGAGCTGGATCCCTTATTCCACCCTTCGCCGACATCATCCACGAAAAGGTGAATCGATTCCTGAAAAGAACATAATCATTTCCAGATTCGCACCCCTTTTTGATGGGCTTTTCACGTAAAGCAAGTAAGTAAAGTACCCCCGCTAGGCAGAAAGATCCTAGGGGTTTATAGCGGCAACCGTACCTCAACAAGGCGAGGACGGGTAGCATGAAGGTGGCGAGGTGGAATCCATATCCGGCTTGACGATGAGGAGACGGCATCGAAGTCGGAGCTGTCAGAACGAGGTGATGACGGGAGAAGAGAGGGAGTAGCCGCAGCTTCGCGCGCAGTCGCGCTCGTCGAGCGCTCGTGCCCATTCTTCTTGCTGTCGGTGACGACGACCGACCCGTCCGATGGCTCATCATAGACTGACTGAAAAAGATACATATCGTCTAGTCTTCCTATAGATATCTTTTATAGTCTTATAGTAAACAAGTTTTTAGTGTCCGCGGACGGTTTTTGGGTTCTTCCGCGTCGGGGCGGGGGGGGGGAGGTGGGGCACAATTTATTTAATTAATCTATAAATGCCTAATAACTTAATAGGAAGTATTTTAAGAATGTTTTTAGTAAAATAAAACAATATTTTAACTAGAAAAAACTTTCAAAAATTGTTCAAAAATCCGAATGTTTGGTGAAACCAGGCCGTTTTGGCCGAAAAATCGATATTTTGTGATTTTTTTCAATAAGACTTTGTAAAGTTTAGGTTCAAACATAGTAAAAAAAGTATAGCAACACTAGCTAATTATATTCAAAAGAATAGATACTAGCACAGAAACCACAATTTTTAAAATATTAGCTCGAAAATTCTTTTTTCTTTGCGTACCTCCTTCTTGGTGAGGATGGCCACGCCCTTGACCGGGGTGAAAGACGCTTCACTCGCACATTTTGCCCGCAACGCACTCGTCGTCGCGGCCGCAGCCACGCCGATCGCCCTGGTGCGAATCGCCTGAAAAGTCGTCTCTTCTAAATGTAAAAAGCCGTTGGCAAACTGTTGAGAAATTGTTCAAAAATTTCGAATTTTGGTCGAAAATCGTGATTTCATCGTTTTTAATAGCTTTTCATGAAAGTTTATATCTCCTCTATTTATATTAGATTAGAAAAATGCAAACCCGGGTACCCACAATTAGGTTGTACAGCTTCTCGCTCTCCGTCCGCTTCGCCGTCGCGGCGAGCACAGCTTTTTGTGCGGCCGGGATGACGATCCCTTGCAGCTCCTTCGCAACCTATAAAAGCTTGTTTCTGTGCACTAATAGAATACCTTCTCGAGTTCCAGGATGTCCATCTCGAGGTACGTGTTGAACTTCGCTTTGTCGAAGCCGTTGATCAACGCCGGCAGCCCGTCTCCCAGGTCGTATTGATCCTAAAAATCTGCATTATCGGGGGCGGGGCATTATTTTGAACCGATCGCTATTTTCTAAATTTTCGAAAACAACTACCACAGGTAACGTCTCAAATTTACAAAAAATAAACATACGCTAAATTCGGCGCAGGGAGGCTCTTCAAACGGGTGCCCGGCGATGTAGGCGTTCGCGTAGGCGGCCCGCCACGTCTGAAGCGCCAGCTGCTGCTCGGCCACGGCGAGGCGGCAAACGCGGTCCTCGACCAGCACCAACAAGGACTCCTGTAAATACTCTCGTACAGTTTATAAGTTATAGAAATTTTTAGGAACCGAGTTGAGGGAAAGCCGGCTGGCTGGGTTTTTTTGCGCTAACCAAAAGGCACAGATTGGAAAGTTGCTACGAGGCGCGCCTATGCACACTCTCCTGTCCACGGGCGGGGTAACATGTTTTCCCCAACAGAAAACCACCCCGGATTTTTGCGATATATCGCGAAAGCTTAATCCAAATACTGAAAAACAAAATCGGTTGAAAATTCGAAGAAAAATTGCGCATCTTTTGAGTCCAGGACATCGAAAAACTGTTCAGACTCATTTTTGCAACGACGGGCTGAAGTATTTCTCCCAGGTTTTGGCTTTTTTAGTGAAATCCGAGCAGAGTTTTGGAAGAATCAAGGTCAATTACCAATAGGAAATAGAAACCGTGCAATTCGGCGATGAAAGAATTACAATAGAAACTGTTATTTTCGAGTTTTTCGTTTTTCGGTCTACAGGGTGGCCCGAAAGTACGTTGACCGGGTTTTTTCGGATTTTCTTAAAAACTATAAGTACTGGCAGGGTCATACTGACATAGGATATTTCTTATACAATTACTTTCAACAGGGTATTGTCACTTTTCCTATTGACTGACTTAAATTTGGAAAAACTGGCCGAGAAGGTTGCTGAAAATGAGGTGCCGGCACGCGGGTACTCGGCGTCGTATTTGCCCCATAACTCAGCGAAGACCTAACTGAGGATGTTCAAATTTGGATGGGAACTAGTCAAGACCGAGGCCTTCAAGACCTATCACACCAAAAAATTTAGCCGGCTTTGGTTCTGCCTACAGAAGGGCGACTATGAGCGATTAAAAAAATGCGTGTTTCAAAACCTTAATAGCGGCTCCAGACACTTGCGCTCGAAGTTGCAGGCAAAACAAGGCTATGAATTGTATTCCTTATGCAATTCTTCTAAATTTGGACAGGCGCATGAAAGGCGACACAACCCCAATTTTCCGTTACTGCCTAAATTGCACAGCACATGGCGAAAATTCCTGAAAATGGTAAAATCTAAAATTAATCCCCTTTGGATAAAAACACATATGCTGGCTTTCTGAGTCGTTTAGGAGGTGTGCCTAGCATTTTGGTAGAGCACGACCTTCCGGTGAAGGCTCAGGACCCTCGCACAAGCGCAAGTGTCTGGAGCCGCTATTAAGGTTTTGAAACACGCATTTTTTGATCGCACATAGTCGCCCTTCTGTAGGCAGAACCAAAGCCGGCTAAATTTTTTGGTGTGATCGGTCTTGAAGGCCTCGGTCTTGACTAGTTCCCATCCAAATTTGAACATCCTCAGTTAGGTCTTCGCTGAGTTATGGGGCAAATACGACGCCGAGTACCCGCGTGCCGGCACCTCATTTTCAGCAATCTTCTCGGCCAGTTTTTCCAAATTTAAGTCAGTCAATAGGAAAAGTGACAATACCCTGTTGAAAGTAATTGTATAAAAAATATCCTATGTCAGTATGACCCTGCCAGTACTTATAGTTTTTTAGCAAATTCGAAAAAACCCGGTCAACGTACTTTCGGGCCACCCTGTATTGTTGTTTTCGGTACCTTGGCCTCGAGCTCGGCCTGTGCCGCGACCACAGCCCGCCGGTCCTGGTGCATGTTGTTGTAGGCGTTGGTCTTGTCGGAGATGTGCTTTTCGATATCCTGGAATAAATACTACAGAATTCACGGAAAAACCCACAATAGTCATTGTTAGTAGGGTAGTGTTAATAGCCGGTGTGAGTGATTCAGTTAGTTGAGCATCATCATCCCGCAGCGCCTTTTATTGCGAGAATTCCATGCTAATTCAGGGGCTTTCCGGCCGATAAACGCGACCCCAAAACGTGTTATGCAAATCTAAAAATATGGGAAAAGCCCAAAAACTATTTCTACAAGCCTTTTTAAGGCTTGAGTGCAGTTTACCCCCCCCAGCCCTAACTTTTCAGCCATACGTCCTATTAATGCGCCGAGTATCTCAAAATGTTCGCCGTGGTCGAATTACTACAGGGTGGACAAAAAAAAAAGATCCGAGTTTGGGACAGAATAACTCGCGAACGGTAGAGAATCGAAGGTGTGTTACCATGCCAGAATGCTTAAATATGCTGGGTATGAAGATTTAACACAACTTGATTTTTTCGATTTTTGGGTACGCAACTGTACTATTGACGCTGGTTACGACCGAAAATTGTGCGTTCTTGAACGGGTGGTGGGAAAATTCTGGTTTTTGGCCTAAAAATAGTATAAATTTGTAGAAATGTAATGGCAAAAACTTAGAATTTTTCGAGGCCTATTCCATTTTCTAAAAACGAAGCAATTTTCGCGATTTTCGTTATTTTTATCCTTTTAGTCATAACTCACTTCTAACTCACTGCCCATGGCTGTTTTTTTGCCAATGAATTATCCAAATAATAATCTAGGATCCCACACCAGAACCCAGCACAATCTATGGTATTTTTGTATTGCTTGCTAAAACGTGCCCCAGCGGGGTACTGTAGGTTTCGTTTTTCCCGCTTTTCTCGGGGCCCCTAGCTTCGATTCGGCTAAAACTTTCTGGGTTGTTAGGCAATAAGTAGGGGCACCTTACTGCCAAATACGAGAGCGTACTATCCACAAACTTCCATGAAAAAGTCTAAAAACTGATTTTTTAATTCTGCCACAGAATCTTGTAAATTTTTTGGTCAGTTGGTCCATAAACTGATACTATTAGTTTTACAAAAAGATCGAAGCGATTCTATGGCAAAAACACCACGAAAATCGCGATTTTCGGTTTTCTACAGTAACCCCCGTGGAGCGCGTTTTAGCATGCCATCACAAAATTCCATAAAGTGACGATTTTTCTATTCGAGGGCCTTCTAGAGTTGATTGTAAGATAGCCTGTCAAAAACTACTGAGTTTTGGTGGTAAATAACAAAGCTACGAGGCCAAGTGCAAAACAAGACCAGAGAGCCGATTTTGGGTCCGAGTAGCCGGGGTCAATTTTCGAATTTTTAAAAATAAAACAGCCACCTGGTTCTTATGGATACGACTAAAGATTTGATGTTTTTATTTACCCTTGTCGAATTCCGGAGCAATCTGATTCAAAATTATGGTGACTTTCAGCCATAAATGGAAAATCACCCTGTTCTCAAACCGCAGTTTAAAATTCTTCGTAAAATTTTTTCGACGCTAAATTGTTTTAATCTTTGCATAGTTTTATTTAACTAATACCACAGATTTATTGGTGAAAAGTTCCAGGCGACTTCACCTTCCAAAAAAATTTTTACGCCCCCTCGAATTCGGTTTATTTCGGGGTTTGATGAATTTTCTTGTCGCCAACGGCTGGTCAAATAAATTCAAGAACGTGGCTTTAGGATGCGCTATTCAAATAATATCAAATAAAATTAAAATGACAATTTTCATAGCGCTGTTAAAATTTATAAATTGTTAGCGGGTTTTGGAAAAAAGCACGTACCAACCGTTTTGGAGGTCCTAAAATACGCCCTTCCAAAGGAGTACGGTAGCTCGAAATTTTGGAGATGATTGATAAACCTCACTCCTACATAGCTAAGCAAAAAAAATAGCTGAGTCCCCTTTCGCAATTTAGAAATATTTTTCCAAAGTCCGGTTTCGAGACCCGGAAAAATCCATGACCCGGGGGTCGTTGAAAAACTCGAAAATTCATCGATCTCGAAATTTTTTTTAATGTGTTTATGCGGTTGTATAGGGTCCGTAGTTATTCTACAACAACTTATTCTGATGTTTTGGCCATAGGTTTTTGTAATTTTCGAAATTTACGAAATTTCCCCATACAAAATTTCATTCCTCTATAACTTGTCAACCAGACCCTCAAAAATTCTTGAATTTTGTAGGTGCATATCTACTACCGACACTAACTTAAATAGAAAAAATTAGAAACCAGACACCACAAGAAACTGAGAAAAAAGCAAATGAAGTTTTGCGGAACGCACATTTTCCGGGTGTCATTTGTATGGGTACGTCGCCAAAAATCGAAAAAATCAAGTTGTGTTAAATCTTCATACCCAGCATATTTAAGCATTCTGGCATGGTAACACACCTTCGATTCTCTACCGTTCGCGAGTTATTCTGTCCCAAACTCGGATCTTTTTTTTTTGTCCACCCTGTATAAAAAAGTTGTTTTCTTACATCAAAAATTGTTAGAAAAATTTTTATAACAATTATAAGTCTGGGTTTTCTTTAGTTAATTTTTGCTGTTCCAAAGTGGGTTTTCGTATCTCGGCTATCTTTTGACGTACAGAGCTGTCAATAGTACCAAAATGTAGCTCTTGCTCTGGAGAATAAGCCTACAGTACGTTTGAGCCGAAAAAAATAGCGAAAAATAGGAATATTTGAGTTTTAGACTCCTAGTACATCGAAGCATAGCGGCTTAATCTTTTCAACTTTCAAAATCTTGTAAAAAATTTTTTAGCAATTTTTGCCGCAAGAAAACAACTTCTTTACAGTAATTCGACCACGGCGAACATTTTGAGATACTCGGCGCATTAATAGGACGTATGGTTGAAAAGTTAGGGCTGGGGGGGTAAACTGCACTCTAACCCTTTTTAATATTCTCGCCTGGAAGGGGAGGGGCTGGCGCTCGCAAGAGCGTAAGCCCACCCGGCTGTGTATTTAGAAACACGTTAATGTGTTGCCGCACTGACTGGCTGGCCCGGACACGCACTGCCCCCCGCTCAGCATCGCTGCAAAGTCTTTGGAGACATTGTGTGAGCCATTTTTCAACAAATTTTCGGGTTTTTGACGTTATTTCTGTAATTGATTTTAGCGCACTTTTTCTTTAAATTGTGGCTTTTTTTATTTATCTCTGCATCAATCGGCATGGCCTTTTGGAAGCAGTCATATCGGCACGGCCCCGCCTCCAATTGGCACCAATGATGGCTGCTTTTCTAAAAATGTTCTTAAACAATATTTTGGCGACGTTTTTCGGGTAGATTGAACTGTGCTGCGTGGTGTGCATAGGAGTGATGCGTACGGTGCGGTAACAAATTTATCGTCCACAGGTGTGCAGTGTAGTGATTGTGTTTTTACTGCTGCTGGATCAGTTGATTCCAAAAGTTGACAAAGCCGTTGCGAAGAGATTCGAGCTGAGACTTCAGCTGCTCCAATTTGGCCTCCCAATCGGCTGAAAAGCGAGGGAAGGTGAACGGGCAAAGTAATTGCAGGGGGAAACGGTGAATAAAGGGGCCAGCAAATCGAGATTATCAAACTAATGAGCAAAAATATAGTTAAAAAACTTAGAGTGGACTTCCTAAAACTACCAAAAACGGTTTCTATGAAGATCTCTGAGAAAAACGAAATTTTCCGGGGCAAAATCGAACTAAAAACGGACTGAACATTTTTTGTATGATCAAATCTTTCACATATTAGTAGAGGAAATGTTTCTAAACTGTTTTTTTACTATTCCTAAACGTCAAAACTATACAAATTTTTATTAAACAAATAAAAAATCTGGGTTTTTAGACCAAAACCAGGGCTGAAAAACCGCTTCGCGGCTTTTCAACCCTGGCCCCGTCTAAAGCACATGGTAGTCAAAAATATGCATATTCTTCCAGGACCTTGATCGCAAAAAAATCAAAGGAACCCCTTCCGCGCCCATATATAGGCTTACCCCACTTCCGGCGCATGCAAATTGCCTCCTAACAAAGAGGTTTCTCGGTGTCTTTACAAAAACTCAATTTTAATAGCGAAAACAGTAATTTTTCCAAACTTTTATGTGTGTGCACGCATCTCGGCGCCATTACGCACCTAATGACGTATCATACGTCCCTTAAAAACCTTCCCCTGAGGCTGTAGGTGCGGTACATACTCACGGAAGTTGCATGCAAATATACACACACACACACAAACACTATTTTTTTATATATAGTAGGATTTCGGTAGTTTTTCTGGTTATAAATATTTTCTAAAAACCCAAAAACATTCTTAAGTTACTAGGCAGTTCTAGACATGAAAAAAATTTTGTTCCCCCCCCCGATAAAGCGAAAAGACCGTGGCAACGACTAAAATTCCGTAAGGATCCCAAAAATTACGTTGCAATTGGTAAAATTGCGTTTTACGTCTGAATAAACGCCAAATATCGTGCGTTGCTGTCGAATTGAATATTTGTAAGGACTCAACGGGGCAGGGGGTAGAGCAGACTTCTTGGCCCCTTTAAAAGGAGTAACAGTCTTGTCCGTAAACAGAGAAGCCCAAACGAAACCAGGCGCTAAAAACGCAAAGAATTGAAAAGTGGCTTGGAGCCCGTAGTAGTCAGCTGCGACGACGAAGCGACCCCCAATGCAGAGCCAAACCCATGCCTTCAATGCAAACCTTGCTCACTGCCGTTGTTGAAGCCGTTGTTCTAAAATAATAGTTCGAAATCCCCCAAAAACCCCGACTTGTCCATTAAAATCTCCTCCGTTAAAGCCGCCATTATTGTTGCCATTGAAGCCACCCTGATTCTGCTGGTCGCCAAAGCCGTTGTTTTGGTTGATGGGGAGTGGCTGAGAATTTTTAGTCTTTTTTGCACCTAAGCCTCCTACCTGAGACCCATCGCCATTCATTCCGCCGTTGAATCCACCATTCTGGTTGATCGGTGACGGCTAAAACAGTTAAAGAAAAACGGAAGCGCCGTAACGTAAGTCACATCATAGCTTTTTTTGTCAAGGCAAAAGTGGAAAAACTATTTGCAATTGCTAAATTTTAGTCGAAAATTGAGCAAAAACTGTCGAAAGTTCACTTTTTGTTGCCTTTACGTTTAGGGATAGTAATAGCCAAAACACGGCCTAATTCGGTCATAATCCTCACATTATTGTTGTTGTTGTTGAAGCCAGCATCGTTGTTTCCATTCACCGGCTGCCCGAAGCCGTTGCCCTGAGCCTAGAAAATAGATTTTTGTGCACAAAAAAATTCGAATTTAGGGGTTGGCGATACTGCCCAACACCGCGACGCCTTCAAATACCTGTCCAAAGCCGCCGGATTGGCTGTCGAAGGAACTAAATCCACATATTCTAAAAATAAACACCGCTCCTACGCTGAAAGGGTCAAGCCGACGACAGCAAGGAGTATGACGAACATCTTTTCGAATGAGAAATCGAGGATCAATTCGAGTTCTCTATCGGGAAATACCCGATCCCCTCCCTAATTCTCTCATCGGCCCAGCTGAATAAATAAATATTCGCGAGCTGTTCAAACGCGCAGGCGAGCGCCAGATTCGACGCGACCATTTCGAAAGGCGATTTCGTGGAGGCGTTTTTTTGGAATGCCACATTTTCAAGCATTGTTGCATTTTTGTTTTTTGCTGATTTTTCTGGGGGTTTCAAAGCAGAATAAACCCGGTGGGGAAACGGAAAGACGGGCAAACGTGGTCAAACCCCACACCAGGACATCCGTTCACGCTGATGTGCTACTTAAGAATCAAAAAAAATGCCGAAGCTTCTGACGGACTCCCCCGCGACACCGTATTCGTGCAAGGACCCGCCAGATGACATCTGTTCCGGCATATCACTATCTCAGCCATTAGGATTCCATTCCAGACTTACTTACTGTAAATTGTTTTTACTCAACTTGGAGTTTCGATTCCGGATTAAGTGCATCTTGTACAGAATTTTTCGCTGATTCCGAATATCTTTTCCAAATTTGCTACGGACCGTTATTCTGAAAGTTATACGGCAATTATTACCCTAGTTTTCACCAAAATGAAGGTATCGCTATAGTATCAGGTTGGATAATAAGTTCTGTCACAATTTTTTGAAATCGCTCGTTAAAATCGCAGATGTTTCCAATTCTGGAGTATGAGGTATGGATTGATAGGTCTCACAACACCCTATTCTGGGAGGACCCTCAGTTGACGCAAAAATTGAGGGACGTCGAGATACAGCCCCGAGAAGGTTTTCGCAAAATTACGCAAAAGCGTGTTAGCGAGTTATCTCTGCATAGAGCAATTTGCATGCGATACCTTTAACACCAATCGATAGCTTTCGAGGAGTAGATATCGATAGATGTTGATCATCAAAATCGGACATCGGATGGCCGAGATACGACCCCTTGAAATTTGGTTCATTTCTTAGAACTTTTCCCAAAATCCCATACATTTGATAGCCCGCGGCCAAGACTGGCCGCTTGATTTTCAAAAGAACCGAGCGCATTTTGACCAAATGTATGGGATTTCGAGAAAAGTTCTAAGAAACGGGCCAAATTTCAAAGGCCGATATCTCGGCCACCTGATGTCCGATTTTGATGATCTCAACATCCATCGATATCTACTCCTCGAGAGCTATCGATTGGCGTCAAAGGTATCGCATGCAAATTGCTCTGTGCAGAGATAGCTTGCAAAATCGGCTTGGTACGTGTTTGCGGAAAACTTCTCGAAGCTCTATCTCGGCGACTCTCAATTTTTGGGTGCGAGGAGGGTCTACCCAAGGTAGAGCTCGAGGATACCTATCAAACCATATATCACATTATTAATTTGGGCACGTCTGCAGCTTTAACAAGCGATTCCACAAAATTGTGACAGAACTTATGGTGCTAATGCAGTTAGGGGGGGGGCAGTCCAAAGTTGGTAGTAAGGGGTTACGAGGCGCTCCACTAAAGTTACTTGGTTTTCAGCTTAAGCCTAGGCTTAACTTAGCTTTAACTAAGCCTAGCTTAGGCTTAGGCTTAAGCCTAAGCCCAAGCTAAGCTTATCTTGAGCTTCAAATTGACTTACGAGGTCAAAATGGGGTCATTTATGGGTTAGCTTAGAACTAAGCTTAGCTTGGCTCAAGCTAAGCTCAGGCTTCGTTTGTATGAAGCTAAGCCTAGGCTTAGGCTTAGCTTAGCTTTTCCAGAGGCTTCGAGTTTAAAAAACGGCATTTGGAGCGTCTCGTAGTCAAAATCCAGACTGCCCCCCCCCCCTAAGTGCATTAGCACCGAACTTATTATCCAACCTGATACTTTACGCTTGGCAAGCGAGTACTTTGCCAATGCACCATGGTGTCAACCGGGAAGGGTGCTGTCAGAGGGTACTTCAGGGCCCCTGGGCACCATAGCCCATGACAAGGAATAGTGGGCCAGCGTCTGAACACAGCGGAAACAGCTAAACAACGAAGGTCGGCCGGCTACGGCATAATTCAAATGACGGAGGAACGTAACGAGTAGCATAACGTACCATCTCGTTTGTCTAATCAATTTATTGAACTGGGTAAAAGCCAAATGCTTAGCAAAATAAAGTTTTTAACTTTTCATTTATATTTTATCGTTTTCAGCGTACTTTTGTACCCATGTCCCGAAATTTTGTTGCTTCCCGGATGAATTTCACCAAAATTAGCGTTTACCTCGAAAATATGAGCTCGGACGGAAAAACAAAACTAATATTCAGAATCTACGCACAAAACTACCTTAATTCGAGATCTTTTATGCCGGAAACGGGCCTGAAGTTCACTTAAATACTTAACTTTTAACCTCGACAACTTTCGACCCCCATGAACCCTAAAAAATCGATGGGAGATTTCTATGATTTTGTGCTCAAAAGACGCGCCGTGAGTTCTTCTACATTTCTACCAAAGCATATTCGCCAATAACGTCGGAACTTCTGGAAATCGGCTTTTTACCGCAAGCCCCCAGCTTATTTTCGCGGGCCGGGGGCCCCTTCTCTCCGCCAGCCTTCGCCGCAATGTGGTGACCTAACCACCGTAGCCAGATCAGCCCAGCCCCATTTTCTCCCACGTAATCGGTCCAAAAAAATAATACGACACAATCCGTTTACGAATTCCGTAATTAGTGTACTTGTACTTCGTTGCAGTTTTAAGTAAGGCTGTATCCGCTGTGTGAATTTTTGGCATTTTTCGGCCTAATTGTTACCAAAATGATTTTTTAAATAAAAGTCCGTAGCAAATTTGGAAAACATATTCGGAATCAGCGAAAAATTCTGCACAAGATGCGCTTGGTCCCGAATCGAAACTCCAAGTTGAGTAAAACCACTTTACAGTTAGATGATAAATACGTACGCGAAAAAAAAGAGTAAGCAACTGGCGATAGGAAAATACTTTATCACATCAATCGCAAGAATTTACACGCTCGAGTTCTATTTACCAACTGTATAGTAGAGTTAATAATGGGGGGTTTTTAATTGGGTTCTTCATTTCTTCCGATTCTTCCGGTTCCGATCGCTGTCGAAGAACTGGGAGATGGCGGGCACATTCCGCTGCTGTCCATTCCTGAAAAAAAAAGACAAACATCTGCAACAAGTACAGCCACATACCCCGGCTTTTCCATCAGCGAAGTGGTTGGCTTGGATCCCTTCAACAGCGCGTCCTTCATCTCGTACACTCGCGATCCCCATGATTTTGGCTTGAAACTAGAAAAGGCCGGATTCTACAAAAATTCGTTTCAAGCCTAACCGCTTCTTCAAATCGTTAAACGTCGGCCGAGCGCTGCGATCATCGATGAAACAGTTGGCCATCATCTCCGAATCTCGTTGTCCCATACAAGGCGTCGGCTGCAGCTTCACCTTGCCCGAGACGATGCCCACCTTCACCTCGCGAAGTGTCTGCAACAAGTATATTTTGTATTAATCAAGGCTTGTGTATACCTTGACGTGATTGTAGGGGACGGCTCCATCCGAAAACACCTCATAGGCCACCACACCAAATGCCCACACATCAGATTTGGTCGAGAAAATGCCCTGTTCGATCGCTTCAGGGGACAGCCAGCTGAAAAATCATAGTTCTCTACTAATAAATGACAAAACTCTGCATACCGGATGGCCAGCTTTAACTGCTTGTTCCCTTTGACCTCCTTGCCAGGGGCGTCGGTGTAGCACGAGATGCCTAAAGATCCAATTTAACAGCCGGCAAACGCCACTCCACCAAAATCACTGATCTTGCATCGCATCTTATCGTCCAGCAGCACGTTTCGAGCCGCCAAATCACGATGGATCAGCTAGAAAAAGACAAATGAACAAATCATAATCAAAACATGGATACCAAATTCTTCTCGAGATATGCCATGCCGGAGAGAATTTGGAGGACAAAGATCCGCTTCTGTTTAATCGGCACCTTACTTTTCCGCATGAATTTCAGAAGAGAGCTGCCTGTTTGCGGAGAAGGAAATAGAAATGAATTGAGGATGGAATATACCGGTGGCAAGTTCCATGACGATCATGATCGGATTCTCGAGGCAAGCCAGTCCAAACATCGCGATCACCGATTTGTGCTCCAAAGTGGCCAAGAACACGGCCTCGTTGATGAACATCATTCTAAAAAGGGAAATATCTATATAAAGGACGTTTCCAACTTGTCGCCAATGGCCGGATCGACCTTCTTCTCCTTGCCCTTTTCCGTCTTTGATTTCCTAAAAAGGATCAGACTATTTTATATGAAAAAAAACTTACTTTTTCTTGTTGTTATTGCCATCGGGGGTGGAGGGAACAGTGCCAAGCGTCGAAGAACCATCGGTCGCTCCGGGAGTGGCCATGACTTTGATCGCGCACTTGCTGTCTCCAAACGTTCCATCATAAACCTGGGGAATCGGGTTGGAGAAGAAGCCGAGAAATGACAGACCTCTCCAAAAGCGCCCTTGCCAATCACTTTTCCTGGGTTCACCTTCGTCGAATCCCAAATCCAAGGCGGTCGAGGAACTGGCTTCTCCAAAACGGGTCCACCCGGCTCCAACATTGTCTTGGTCGTCTTCAGCACATCCACCAACGACGGAACCGACAGCGCCACATATGCATCATTCACATAGTATCTTCCATTCTTTGTCATGTGCACCAGATAGTTCCACATCAAATTGTCGTGCAACACCGAGACAACCGTGCACTACAATTCGCAGATGAACATGGCGGAGATGAATAGACCTCTTGCTTGTTGACGTTGGTGATGTAGGAAACGAATTGGCCTTGTTCAACCAGCTGCCGGCGAACGATTCCCTAGCAAAATAAATCGATCAATAAGAAAAAGAAAAATCTCACAATCGGCATGTAGCCATGGAAGTAGTCGACATTTTTCAACGGGAACGGCCAGTTGGTGGTATCCTAAAAGGCTGATGAGGAGAAAAGCATGAAAAGACAACCTCTTTCGGATTCGACGGCTCTTTGATGTTGGCATTCTGAAAAGAGCAACGGTACATTACGGCATATTTTTCTAGTAAAAAAAAGAATTTCGTGCGGCCGAGGATACCAATGAATTCAGCGCCAAAAAGTGTGGATCAAATTGCAGCTTGCTAAAGGAGTCGGACGCGGAAGGGGGAATGTGCAAAATTAATGAAGCTAGTGGGAGTAGTTGTCGTTTTGTTGACACATGGCCTAATAAATAGTCGAACAATTTGCAAAAAAAGGATCTAGAAAAAAGGCTGACGCGAATCTCTTGAATGTCAGTGGGCTGGTTGGGTTTGTTCTTGGATTCCTTCAACACATCGTATGAGCTGGTGCTGTGGGCGGAAGGGCTCGAGATTGTCGATGTGCTTGCCGTATCTGCCACCAGAGACACTTGATCAGCGCGCTACAAACGAAATACATTGTAAGAAAGACAGGAGCCGCTCACAGTGACGGCTGACGGTTTTTTCGGGTCACAATCTTCAGTCTTTTCCGTCTCGCACACATCCAATTCTTTTTTCTTGCCCTAAAATGTAATAATTTCCTACAACGTAATACAAACTTTTGATTTGGCTTTGGACCGACGCTGTTGCTTTGAGGGTGACTTGACGGCAGTTGGCTTTTCCGGCTCGATTTTCTCCGGCTTCTCCTTCGGTTTTTCGACCGGCGTCTTTTTTGGGACCACTACAGCACTGACAACTGTTGGCTCCGGTGGCTGGGTGTGGTGCGTCTTTTCCTGGGAACCAGCGTTAGTTGGTTGCTCCGGTGGGGTGTTCTTCTCCGGGACGGCGGCAGTAACTGTTGGTTCCGGTTGAGTAGGAGATGTTGACTCGACTGATGCCGGTGACGGAGCTAAAAACAAATACATGGTATTTTGCAATAATTACCAGTGACCGGCGAGGGCGGAGCAGATTGTGTTGGTGGCGAGGACTTCTTTCGCTCTTTCAACTTTCGCAACGAGTCATCGACGTGCAGCCCGATAACGTCGTAGACGCCCTCGTCCGTGTTGTCTTCGGTCACGGCATCTTTGTTGTTCGGAGCACCCGGCTGCAACAACGAGTAAAAAAGAGTAAAGGTCTCGGCAACCTCGGGGACCGCATCGGCACCATCGAATGGCGGCTTGTCCAATTTTGAAGGGTCGGGAGGCTAAATCACGTGAATGATCTGGAAATAAAAACACACCGATCCTTGAGTCTTCTCAGAGATGATATCTGAAAAACCGCAATCTTCTCAAAGACAACAATTCGCAGGCAAGTGAACAGAGTTGGCGACAGACCTGGATTACTTCGAGGCTGGTCGGGATCCATAAATTCCCGAACGGACAAAACCAACCGACCCGCGAGTAATAAAGAAATGCGGAAAGCACCGATGAATTGCGCAAACACTGCATCCAAGACAACTTCCGTATGCAAAATGTATCCGCTTGGATTCACAGCAACCGCGATTCAATCCGATGTCTGACGCCACAATTCCAATGCATATTTATCCACAATCACAAATTGAAAATCACAAAAAATTCAGTTATATTATTTCATTCAGGGCGTAGCTTGCGTAGTAGCTGTCCGTGCTGCCCCTGTCGACGCACCACCTTCTCGCGCTCCCGATCCCTAAACAAGTTATAATCAGTAAAGAAAAAGAATGTTACCATATTACGCGCGTCCCAATGTTCTTCAAAATGCCACAGCTCAGCCCTTCGTAGTAGACACGGTCGCTCAGTCGGGTGCTGTCGAAGAACTTTCTCGGTTTGTTTACCAGTAATTGAGCACCGTGTTGAGCTCGAGCCATTCGTAGGGCCTCACCTGAACAAGAACGATTAGAAACGGTCCAAAAAGGCGGTACCTTTTTCTGCGACTTGGTTTTTCGGCAGTGATAGGCGAAGAATGGTCGGATTAGTGGTCGGCTCAGTGAGAGGGCGTTGTTGGCGATGCCGAGGTGGTGTGGCTGCTAAAATTCCAAGTTCAACAGGGAACGGGCAAGTAATATCGCAATGTCTCAAACCCTCGAGAGGTCAGAACCCCGAAAAATGAGAAAACTCACCGCGTGCAGGGATCATTCGGGGCAGCGCAGGGGCAGCAGCAAGTCCTCATCGTCGTCGAAATTGAGCTGTGGGGGCGGAGCACGAACTGCTGGTTCCTCCATCGGAAGTGCGTAGCGTCTGCCTGATCTCGTTGTGCCCGGAGTTATAGGCTTTTCCGTGGGAGCGGCCCGCATTCACTGAAAAGAACAACTATGAATACGAAAATCACTCGACTAAACTACAAGAAAAAAAATTATATGCAGGAGCACAAAACATTTTCCAATCGGAAAACGGTAAAAATTCCAGACAAAAGCCGAAAAAATCAAAGAGTCGAATGAAACCGCGGAGCGCCCTATAGCAAGCAGTTAAATCCTACGGTGGATTATGTCGATAGTATTGCAACGTAGCCTTTCGTCGCACGACCCACGCATCTCAATTTCGAGCCTAAAATTGATATTTTTGGTGTTTTTAGGGTATTTTCTATGTTGTTTTTGCAGATTTGTAGTTTTCGAGCTTTTCGTCTGAATCATGTGAAATAGCTATGAAATAAGTTACAATCCCCGACGGCCGGTGCTCTTAAATTTCCGCAATTTCTATTCTTCAAACGATCTCGCAGATTCTCAAAACCGAAAAACATCAGCATCAAAAACTGCAGATGTGTGCGATTGTCTTCTTTCTGTTGAGAGCTTCCGAAAAGCCATTCATCCATTTTCAGATACCCGTTCTCGCGGATTTGCTGATCATGAGCGAGGTCTTCGTGGCCACCGCTACAAAACTCAACGATTTGTTCGAATCGCAGATCCATGTTAGTCTTTGTTTGTACAGCTAAAGTTTCTTTTGTTAGGAGAATCGCCATCTTCAAATTTTCGTCGACCACATGATGCAACGTCTTATTGTCAAGGGGAGCGACGATCGTCAGCTAAAATCGGTTTGGTATTTGCCACAAAAAACACGTAATTTTTAGATTTCGATTGAAAGGGAACATTGCCGGGTGATAAAGAAGGACTTGCAATTGGTTTTCCAAAAGGAGGGCCTTTTTCGGTAACTTTTCTCGAGAATTAACAGTTGCGTGTTGTGCTTAGGTTTCGGCTCACCATGCGCGATGCTGCAAACATGGACAAGTTGTATAACGCGGTGAAGAGGCACATTGCTATCGAGGTACTCAGATCTAATATCTAATATAATCACTGTTTTTTTTATAGGTTCGTGGGACGCAGTTGGGAGGAGGCGAGGAGAAGCCGATGATTCAGCCATCACCGGTTCGAGCGAGAATTAGTTGATGATATTTCCGATTTAGAATTCACAACTGCTCGCGGCTCCCGCATCTACGCAGGCTTCTTATGGATTTTCACAAAATGTGGTTCGTTTAATGCTGATACAAAAAGGTTCGATTTTAGCATCTCACATATTCCCAAACGATTGGTGGAGTGGGCACGCCTTCTCCAGCCATTGACGATGGCTCTCTGGACTTGTCTCCACCGCGCAAACGGCATTGTGTAAAAGAAGAACCGATCGACTCGCCGCAGAAGATACTCGCAAAACCCGCAGAAGGTAGACGGCCGAAGATTCGCGAGTTTTTCGACGAGCTTTATCGCCGGGATCCTGAAGGATTGGAGGTATGAATTTCGATGCTTCAACCGGATGAGTTCTTTTTAGCAAGCCTTCGTTCGAATCGGTGCGGAGCTGCTGAAGATACCGAGTTTCCGGCAGCTGCATGACGAACTTGACCGGCCGCTGTTTCCGACAGGTATAATTCCTCGTTCACGTGGTGCTAGTCAGTTTTTTTAGCCAAACAAGAAGACGTCAAGCCCGTGAAATCTTTGGAGAGCGAGCCCGAATAAACCGACTGCAACAGTTCTGCCTCATGTCTACATTCCAGCCATAACAACTTGTGTTCGTTTTGCTTGTTGTTGCTATTTCTATCTTATTGCCGTTCTCAATTTGTGAATCATCATCCTTGCCAGGTTGGCGCACTTTGTTTCTACCGCATTAACGAATAAATTTATGCTAACCCCTCTACAGTGCCACAGAATGGGAGAAGCGGTCCGTCTATACATTTATTCACTAGCCCTGCATGCGCAAAGCAAGAACCCCAGCGTTCGAATAGAGATTGTTTTTTGATTGCAACTGAAATATGAATGATATAAGCGATGACATTGTTAGAAGAATTTTTTTAATTTTCCGAAGGCGCCGGTGATCTTGCCCGCCGTCGATGGCCTGTTCATCATCTGTCGCTCGTCGAAGGTTGCCTCGGTGGTCGTAGTCCCTCCATCTCGGCTTTTCGTCGGCTTCAATCCCTTTGCCGAAGCGCACGACTCAGCCATCGCCTTGTGATAACTGATAAGTGGGTCTAGCCGAGCAGGAAGAATTCCCACATCTCTGCCTCGCGCAACAGCTCGACGATGGCCATCCGATGGATCTTTTTCTTCTCAGCCAACGAGCGAACCCATTCATCCCAGCGGACCATCGTCTCATCCAGCTTCTTTTTTGCTGTGTCGACAGCGGGAAGCTAAAGATTGATGATTGCTAGCGCATCTTCCTAGCAGCTACCATTTCCGGCCGTGTCTTCGACTCGGTGATCATCATGTTCAGCTCGTCATTTGCATTTTTCACCTCGGTCATCAGACGGCCGAGCTGTAAAATCGGGGCTAAATATGACTGGGGTGGTACGAACCTCATCGGGCAGCTCCTTGAGGAAAAAGGTGCGCAGAGGGGCCAGTTTCTCGCGTCCCTGCCTTTGGAAAGCCCGTGAATGGGTGGCACAATCCAGGCTCACCGCGCACAGCGTTTCCACGATCGACTAAAATTATTATTGGAATTGGGAAAGATCTAGCAAGAGGGTAGAAACTCTCAGCCGGGCCCAGCTTTTGTATCTGGTTCTCTTTTGTACCATCGAGTTTAGAAAGTATATCAAATTGTTCGTCTTAATATTTAGAGCCTTAAATTTCATTTGTGTCACATAAAGGGAGGGGTGAGCTAAATTAGAGAATTGCCTAAATAGTTCAGGTTGAAAAGTCAAAATCTTGGCTGAGAGCTCGTAGAGTTAGAACTATAGTTTAGCCCTAGAGTTTAGCAATGGATACCTCACAGCCGGTCCACGCTGGTCGAATCTGCGTCAAGCCATGGTGCGCCCTCTCATGGCCATGTTCTTGGTGCGGGGTTTCCAGCTTCTACAAACATATTTAGATTCGAATGTGGCTCCAGCTGCTGACGTGTTCCGATTGGGCGGCCGGGCAGAACTGTGGGTCTCGCTGCAGTACTTGGAGGAAGGCGTCAGTGGACAATTGCAGGGCCTCCTGCAAAAACTTTTGGTTATTTTTTGAGTGTTAGTGGAAGCGTAGCAGCTAGCTAACTAGCTAAATATTTGAAAAAATCGAAAATTTTCGCTTTTTGGTATGAGATGTATGAAAACTGGCCAAAAAAGTAAAGCTTTGAAAATTTAAAATATTTGTACAACTTAACAACCAGTCTCGAAATACCGACGCGATATCCCTCAAGCGCTTGGCTCTGTCTGCGCGGCTCGTTCGGCAGATCGGCCGGCTTGACGGTGTGAAAGATGGTGCCGCCCTGCTTCAGCTTGTACTTCATCCGCTTGAAGAAGCCGATCTTCGGCTGTCCATTGATCAGCACCTCCTGCGAGCCGACCTAAAAGAGAAAATATTTTTTAGGAATCGTCTCACCCGTGGCACAACGGCTGACGACATTGTGCCGGTGTTTGTGTTGGACGTCTTCTCGCCGCTGCCCGAGCCGGCAGACGGCGTCGGGGGCGGCGTCATCGCGTCGAGCAGCGCCTGAAATAACTGGAATTTTCGGTATTTGTACGAGGCCCTAGCTTAAAATTATATTCAAATGGCCGGAGTCTATTCGTGGAACCAAATCGACGGTTCGACGCCGGCGGGACTGGTCTGTTAGCGAGGGGAGGTACTCACCTTAAAGAAATTTTGCGCGTTTTGTAGTGTTTTCGAAGTGTTTTTAGCGGTTTTTGGATTAGGAAGGATATAAAGTACTTAAAGTTTTCAAAACTGACTTTTTTGTACCACTTTTATTTATTTTTGACGCAAAAGACGAAAGTTCAGCCAAATTTTAGCGTTACTCGTGAGCTTGCAAAGCAAAAAATCCAGAAAAATGGCTAAAAGGCCATATAATTTGCGTGGATTTTATCGAGTTCTGCCCGCCACTTAGCCTCCCCCGCTAACAGTCCAGTACCAAACTAGGAACCTTTCGAAGCGGGCTCGGTGACAGTCACTTGGACTTGGGTGAATATAGCTTGATGCAGATGGTTAAGTAATTCCCCCATAATCCGCGAACAAAATTTATTGGGACCAAAAGGAGAGCATATAAAAGGTTGGTTAAAAAATAACAACATGTCGATGATGAATGACGAGAAAAAAAAATGGGGGTAAACGTAATTGGGGCCTATGCGTTAGTAGAATTGTTCTTGACGAGCGGCGTCGATTCGAACTGGGTGTAGACCTCGTTGGTCGTGGCACTGCAGCGGATGAATGTCGTTCGCTTCGACAACTCCTAAATTTATGATATTAGGATGGCACTAAAGACCCGATCTCATTGGTCCGTGAAGGTATATCCGAACGTTATGGGGAAACACGAGTAAGTCCATACGCAATGTTTTTATACTTTTTCGGTATATCTAGAAAAAAAGAACCAGAAACCCAAGAACCGCCAAAAAGGTATACACCCAGGAGACATAACATAATAGCAAATCCTCACCTTCAGTTTCTTTGATCCCGTATACGTGCATGCTGATCGAATGCCGCCCAGAATGTCTTGGACAGTGTTCATCACGTCTCCACTGGAACGAGAAGAATAAAAATTGCATAACCCAAGAACAAACCGGTAGGGCATCTGTACCGTTTTGCCCTCGCTGGCACGGTATTCGGCGACGGCGCCGTGGTACTTCTTCATCGCCGTGTCGGAGGACATCCCGTAGAACATCTTGTAGTACCTAAAGATGAAGTTAGATACATGAAATTTCAAATGCACTTACCTTCCATCCTTTTCGATCAGTTCACCACCGCTTTGGTCATGGCCGGCAAACATTCCACCCAGCATCACAAAATCGGCACCTAAAATAGGGGAGTTATTCATTGACCCCAGAAATTTGGCATTTCGACGCTTTTATCCCGAAACTGGCTGTAGAGATTCTACATGACAAAATCAAAAGCTAGTGCCTCGTAGGGCATTATTTAGCGCTGTTTTCTGGTATTAGGAATTTGATAAGACTTTTTGCGATACCATTACTACTTTATCTTGGCCTAATGCATCAACACACGGATCTCTAGATAAGGAATTTTCCAAATAGAGCCCACAAAACGGTGACTCACCTGCGCCGAACGCCTTGGATACGTCGCCGGGATTCGTGCATCCTCCATCAGAAATGACGTGCCCGTTCAATCCGTGGGCTGCGTCCGCACACTCGAGCACCGCCGACAGTTGCGGGTAGCCGACGCCGGCCTTCTTGCGGGTGGTGCAGACAGAGCCGGGGCCAATACCAACCTAAAAGATAACAATTCATGTTAATTAATTTAATAATACTTGAGCTATACGTCTAAAAAACTATGCAAAATAGCCAGTAACTTCTACAGCGGCACTATGAAACTTCGCGTCATAAATTTTGCATTACGTCACCAAATTATTTTCCCTACGCTCCGAACCGTCAGAAATTTACTAAATGCCGTCTTCACAGAGTTTCTACAGCCCGTTCCGACGGTGTCTGAGTTGACGGCAAGTAAATGCACACCTTCACGACGTCGGCCCCCGTCAAAATCAACTCTTCGCACATCTCGCCGGTGACGACGTTTCCAGCCATCATGGTGTGTCGGGGAAACTCTTCGCGTACCCTGAACAAAAAATAAGAGCCCAAAACCGTCCACTCACTTCCTAATAAAGTCGACGAAGATCTGCGCGTATCCGTTGGCCACGTCGACGCAGATGAAGCCCAGCTCGGGAATCTCGTTCACAATCGTGCGTAGCTAAAATAAAATTATAAACAAAAGATTACGATATCAACTCAAACGTGGCATTATCCGCATCACAGTAAAAATAAAACTACAGACGAACCTTATTAAAATCGTTGTCCGAAATCCCGGTTGAGACGGCAATATGGCCGAAGGTCGCTTTGTCACATTTGGCAGCATATTCCTTCCATTGTTCCACCTAAAACATTGGTGATTCTGATCACGTACAACTCCACAATACCGTGTAATGCTTGTGGATTGTCGTGAAGAGCTGAACCTTGCTCAGGGCATCGGCCATTTCGAAAGTTCCAGTCTAGAATGATTTTATGCCAAACGGAGAAACCGGGTACCGTGTCCATGTTCGAGCTGATCACCGGGATCCCAGAATAGGTCTTTTTCGAATTCTTGAACGTGTATTCTCTAAAAACCATCAACAGATTAAAGTCGATCTCAGTCGCTTACATATTCAAGTCGACCTCGGATCGTGAGGATAGTGTGCTCCTCTTCGGTCGCAGCATGACATCCTTGAAGTCGAGCTTCACCTCCGAAATCGTCGGCATTTCGGCTGACCTGGAAAAAGCAATGGATTAAGATTTCAGGGGAAACAGAATTTAAGAACGTGTAAGAGAGGTTTCACAAAGGACTTTTCAGCCCTTTTGACACTTTTTGCATGGGGTCTACAGGTAAATGGCCTTGAAAAGCCAACAGAAAAATATATAATATGGGGTTCAGCGGAGGAAAACGGGCGCCAACACGTCTCGGGGAAAGGAAAAGGGCACCGTTCGCGCTGTGGAGAGAAATAGATACTGGAATGGAGGGAATGAGGATGGGAAAGAACAGACGGGCCCAGCAGACCCCCGGCCCCGAAAAAAAACAAATCTCGCCGGTCTGCCTATTTGCCCTGCAGTCCCATTCGCAGCACAAACGGCCCGTTTAGATATAACCGGCGGCTAAACTCCAAGTCGATAACTCGATTTAGGCTGACCTTTCACCAAAGATGATAGGAAAACTACATCTGCCCGATATTGTACTGACCTAGAAAAAGCCATACTACCATTGGCGTCGATTTATAAACGAATGGGATTTTTGAACTTCAACGTATAGTTTTAGGAAGTTTTCGATTACAGAAAAGGGTATATGTCGGCTACGCGGGGGGGAAAATTTTACGCGGGGGGGACGGGGCAGGCAGGCCTTTTTGGATGTTTTGGTTATTTTCTCGGAATTTTCGCAACGGCATGCGATAGAGCATCGAAAAATATACTAATAGTTTTTGTTTTAGCGAAAATTAGTGTAATATAAAAAAGTTACGGTAAATACAAAAATAAGCTTTGAAAATCGGTTTGAGCGGCTGTTTTTCGATATTCGCGCTATTTTTTTTCGACATTTTAAAGATGCCATTCGATAGAGCATCCGAAAATATACTAAGAGTTTTAATTTTAGCTCAAAATAATGTAATATAAAATAGTTATAACAAAAACAAGTATTAAACGTTGTTTCAATGGAGGACATAAAAGGAAATCAAGTTTTCGACATTTTCGACATTTTTACAAAATTTCTTTAGTGCCATTCGACAGAGCGTCGAAAAATATACTAAGAGTTTTGTTTGTAGCAAAAAGAAGCGCAAAAAAATAGTTAGCCCGGCCCCAACAGTCCGTCCCCCCCGCGTAAAATTTTCCCCCCCGCGTAGCCGACATATACCCAGAAAAGCTATGAAGCGTTCAAAATATTCCATTTTTTGGTCCAAGTTTGACATTTTGGAGCAAAAACTTAATTTCCGAAAATTCTAGTAATTGATATGAACTTTTCATCTATAAAAAAAAAGAAAAATGCTACCAAATTAGTGTTTCGATTACATTGTCTAGCATCTGAGAAAACAGCAAAAATGTAGTTAGAACCCTTGCTAAGGAACTAGAACCCTTGCGGAAAATCCAAAATGGAGCACACATACAGCAATCGGAACAAGTCATTTATTCTTCATTAATAACAGCGTGAAATATATTGGGTCCCAAGTCCAAGGGCACCTTTTTTGAAAAATAAAACCACAACGTGGTGTCAAAAAGAATTAGTGCACTGCGATCAGACAAATAGATCAGATATTTCAGGGCGACTCAATCTTATCGTCAATCTCCATCGGCTTCGCCTCGATCAGCTCCGTGTCCTCCGAGTTTTCCGCGATCGCTTCAGCCTCGCCCTGGCTTTTGGCGCTCATCTCAGTGTCCCTGGAGATTTCGGCGATGATATCATTTTCATCCGCGTCTTCCACGATGGTGAAAGTCGAGTCCGGGTCTTCCCAGGTGATCTCAGCGTCATTTGGCGTTTCCGCCGTCATATCAGTCTCGTCCGGGTCGTCGACGATGATCAGTGCCTCGTCCAGGACCTGCGAGATGACCTCAGCCTCGTCCAGGACCTGCGCGATGGCATCAGCTTCGTTGGGGTTTTCGGCGGTCATATCAGGCTCTTTCTTATCTTCCGCGATAGCCTGGCCCAGGCCGTGTGCGTTTCCCTCAGCATCATTGCGGTTTTCTGCGGCCACGTCAGGCTCCTTCGGATCTTCCGCGACAGCTTGGCCCTTCTGCGGAGTTTCCGGGACGCCCTCAGGTTTGCCAGCTAATTCTTCCTAAACAAAGCATAGAGGAGAACACATGAACAAACAATTTGGGCCAAGTATTGGCTCCTTTGCGGGTCAAACAGCTGCTCTTCGGCCAACATAACCTGAAAAGCGCACAATAATCTCGTAGTATATTCAAAGACTTTTTAGTAAAATTCTTTGATATTTCAAGCAATTTCAACTTTCAAAACTCACTAAAAAAAATAAAAAACTTGTTCCGAAAATTGATTTTTTTTTTGGCGGGCAGTTTTTAGGCATAAGAGAAAACCGTACTTCCTCTTTTTATACCAGAAAAATTCCGACCCCCCCCCCCCTTCGGGGAAACACTAAATAACCTCAAATACCTCACCCATGATTCCAGGGTTTCGATTAGCCGATGCCGCTCCCTCAGCTCTTCCGGTTTACGCTCCATGTCGAAAGCCTTGGCAATCTGGCCCCAATCATCTTAACGCAACAATCAAAATTTTGTAATCTAAATTACCTCCATAAACACTGACGCCAACCTTCAACGCTTGGTCTTCTTCTTCATCCCAGTTTTCGAATTTTTGGCGCTGGGAGAGCTCACTGCACCACCTTAAAATGAATTTCAACAGTATTAACGTTCCAAAGACCGTTTGCGACAATGGAGTTGCAGCTTGCCGGATGTTTGCTTCGAGATCTGGTACCATTTCTTCGGGCCAAGGCGCAGCAGACCGTCCAGAATTTTCTGAAAAAGTACACAACTATCTATCGACCATACGTAGTCTTCTACGGAGCTCCATGGAAGATAAGCCAGCTCGCCCAAGTATACCGCGAAATGATCACGACAGGCCACTTCACAGCGACCCTTCATGTGCTTCGACACTAAAAATTTTGGTACTGGACCGTTAGCAGGGGGGAAATATTACCGTCTATACCTCCATGTCAATAATAAATAGTGTATTATTGTAATGTTTTTGGTAGTTTACAGTTTTGAAAATCGGGAAAAGTTTTGACCTTGTCATACATTTTTGCTCAAGTCTAAAATTTGCGAAACTTTGTAGAGATTTTTCGCAGCAAAAACCTTGTAAATGCCATAAATTTTTTATATTTTGTAATCGGTCCGTAGTGGATTACTGAAAAAGAAACGCTAACGGTCCAGCACCAAAAAGTTTCGTGCAACAATAATAGTGGGCGGCCATTACCTTCCGGCCATCTTCCCTTGTGCTTATCCACCAGATAAAGAAGGAGGTCATTTTCCTCATTGCTCCATGGCATCGCACTAAAATAATCTTAAGTTTACAAAAAAGATCCAACCAGCAATGAGCGAAATGGATGTCGGTCCGGATGGTTTTGAACACATCAAAAGCCGTGCGGTCAGTGTTAAGAGACTCGGCGAAATCCTTCCAGCACTGCTCATCCTCCTTGTTTTTGTAGGCCTTGTACAGATCCCTAAAAAGGAATCATGCTGCATCGAAGAAAAATTACATAAGTTCCTCCTCGCTCCATGGTTGCTTGTTAATATTCGGAGAATACATATTCTGCCAGCGCAATCGACAATCCATAGCAGAACGGATACCGTTCTATAAAAATAACGTAGGAAGCCTCGCCAATAACCCTACAAAGACGTGGCTTGCAATGCGATTCCAGTTGATTTTCGCGTAGGATTCTTCCAAGTCCAGTTTCGAAACATCGGCCGTACTAAAAGTATAATACGAAAGGCCACATTTTCGAACCGCAGGTGATTAAGCCGCAGATCAATTCGGGCCACCTCGTCCTTCCATAGCGTCACGCATTTGCGTGAAGTCTCTTGCCCAGAGTTGCGGATCTTTTCCGAAAGAAGCCGACGCCTGAATTTTCAAGATTTCATCAGCGACGTATAAGCTTACTTGGTTTCCAACTCCGTCGACAAACTACGCCGGATTTCTTCATAGACGGATTCTTGCAAGAGCCAGATTTCCTTCTTGGTCCCTAAACAGAGGAAAAGCTCTTCGAATCGCAGGTTCGGGGGGGAGGGGATTTTGTCAAAACAATAAATGGCGGAAGCGTTTCTAAACGGATTTCACTATTCCTAAAAGCAAAAACTTCACAACATTTTTAATAAAAATACATAAATTACGGACTTATCGAGTAAAATATCGACTTTTTAAAAAATTTTTAAGTAGTTTTTTTAGTTGAAATAAAGTGTTATTTTACGAGACATTATAAAACACTTAGTCTTTAGTTATTAAGCGTTTCTAGAAAATTTGTTCCCACCACCCCGATAATGACAAAGAACCGGAACGCCTTCTTACAGCGCTTGTTCTCTTTGTGAAGTGTGTCGAAGAGCTTGTTGGAAATTTTTCGCTGTCCGGCCTCCGTCAGCGGATACGTCTAAATCCATATAAAAAATATTTTAAGATGAATTACGTTGCCAGCGATGCCTTTGAAGTACGGGGGCATGAATTTCAGGATCGGCATCTTGTGCTCAAGTCCAGCCTTCACATTTGAGCGCAAGTGATCATCGATTTTCGATTGGACGTGGCGCTGAAAATGATTATAATAAAATCCAAGCAATGATTACGATATTGTCTTCAACGTCATACATCAATTTGTCCACAGCGGCGATGGCATCCGTGATGCGACGAAGCCGTTCGAGCTAAAAACGTATAGACACAGCACAACATTTTATACCCGCTCTGGCTCAGGGGGTCCAAAGTCGAAGTAATCGCCCTCGTCCACCATCAATGGTATCTAAACTATAATCTTAGACGAAAAAAACGAAAGTTATATCTATAAAGCTAACTTCAAAAACGCCAACTTTATTCCCTTTCTCGAAAACTGAAGAAATCTCGGAGATAATGCCAAAACGAAGAGTTTTACATAAAAAAAAGATCAGAAAAGGAACATTTCCTTTTAAACTTTCATTTTAAAAGCAATAATGAGCAAACAAAAATAAAAATAATAATCGGGAAATAGAACGCAGTTCCTACTTTACACTACATGTAGTGCTATTGTAGCTACAATACATTTCGCTGCGGGACCTTCGCCGACCCGGCAGAATGAATCTTTTCCCCACTTTTTTATCTTTTTCGGCTCGATTTTTGTAGTATTTTTTTATTGTGAAATTTTAATACCTATTTTACAATGTGACACCCGCTCGACCTTGTTCTCGCTCGTTTCCCACCGATAATATTTCTCCATTTTAGAAAAATGGCTGAAAAGCGAAAGCTTCTCGCCGAGATTGACAAGACATTTAAAAAGGTAGGCTGCTTTCTGCCGAGCGTTTTCACCTCGTTTAGATCGATGAGGGACTGGATGATTTTCAAGACATCATGAGCAAGCTGCTCGATGCCAACTCGGACAATCAACGCGACAAGCTGCAGGATGACCTGAAGAAGGAAATCAAAAAGTTGCAACGGTACTTTGTTGGGCGTTTTGTCTCCAACCTTTTTAGGTTTCGCGACAGCGTGAAAGGGTGGCTAAACAATCCCGACGTGAAGGAGAAAGACAAGCTGTTGGACTACCGCAAACTCATCGAGCAACGGATGGAACAGTTCAAGGACATCGAACGGGAGAATAAGACGAAACCCCACTCCAAAGTGGGCCTTTGCGCCGAGGAGAAGGTGGACCCCATCGAAAAGGAGAAGCAAGAATCCGTAGAATGGTTTCAGGTAAATATTTTCGCGTTGCTAGACTGTCCCAACAGATTTTTGCACTGCAATCCGGAGAAATCCGGACGGAGAACGGCATGTATAAAAAACAGCGATAGTTTTTGTTAATGAAAACGTGGTCATGTAAAAACAATCTATTAGACCTTGTTTATAAGCATGAAATAATATCATAAAATTGATGAGCCATCAACACTGAAGCAACCGCACCGCCTTTGTTTTCGCATGCCTGGCGCTCATCGTTGCTTACCTGTGTTCGGCTTAGTTTCTTTGTTTTTTTTCAGGCCATGATCGCTGATTTAAAGCTGGAAGTCGACCGAACAGAGGCCACCATCGAAAGCCTTCAACAAACCGAAGCCTCAGCCCCGAAAAAGGGGCGGAAAGGCAAAGACGACAAGAAGGCCATGTTGCTGCGGGTTGAAGAAAGCCGGAAGCATCTTGAACGGGTGTCGTTCCACATGCAACAGCTCGAGGTGAATATTACTCTCCAACTCTCCATTGTTTTTTTAGCTTTGTCTGCGGCTGTTGAACAATGAGACGCTGAAGCCAGGGTCTGTGATGGAGATTTTAAGGGGATCAGGTGGAATTATATGTCCAGAGCCTCGATCCCGAATATGATGGCCAGAACGGCGCATCAAGTACGCTGGATCCGGAAGGTAATTCTGCGCATCGTTCGAGGAATTTTTCTGTTTAGCAGCCTATGAAGAACTGGGACTCGATCAATTGGCTGCTACATTGGGAAATATATTCAATCTCTCCGAAACGTCGTGCAATGAGTTGCAGAATTGTAAGCGTTTTTTAGTTTGACTATATTTTTGTGTATAGCGTTCGACATGAAGCGGACAGGCGATGATGGGCTAAACCGATCGCGGAGAGGCAGCTCCCAGTCGCCAATGATGACCCGAACGCCGCCCACGAAAAAGCCGGTCACAAGGTAAGAAACTTGCGTTTCCAATTTATGTTTATTTAGCTGGTTTTTGTTTTGTTTATACACGCTATATCACTCCGGACAAGTTTTGACTATTTTTTACATGAAAAACTTAAAAAAAACTATTTTGATTTGGAAGACAAATTAGTAGGTTTTTGACGATACTAAATGGCCCATTGCCGCTTTTGGTAACTATGTTTTTACATTGCTACATAGGCACCTCATTGGCAGGGATAAGCGGAAATCGGCGAAATAGACGTTTACGGCTTCTCATTTATTTCTGACCTTTTTCAGGATAATCTCCGAGCCACAGCCAAGCAAGGCGGCCGATGAGTCCCGCTCATCGCCAACCCCACGGTCTCTGCGCCAACGATTCCCTACAATTCCATTGTGGCTGGCGTGAAGTGCTCGTCGGCGAGTGGTAACAGCCCTCACAACATTTTGTGAAAATTCCATTTAGAGCTAAGCGAACGCGCAATCACCGAGGTCTCGGCCGAGCCGATTGCACCTGCGATCCAGATCTCTACTACCGAATACCCGACGATTAATGAGAATTTGCCGCCGCCAGCTCCTTCTGTTGCCCCGAAGGCGCCTATCGGTACGTAGATTTCGTGCTGATTAGCTTGGGGGCCCTATCGTCCCATCGGTCTCAAAAAAGACCAAATTATATCTTTGGGAAATTTTTGAATTGTTTTTGATGATGGCAAAAACCTACTAACTAAAAATACATCATAAAACGCTGGAAATGTAACCTGATATGCGTAAGCTAGATCAGTTCAGAGCCGTTGATTTCATCTGTTCCTCTGAATAATGTTGTTATTTAGCGCCGCCTCCGGTCGTTGCGGAACCAGAACTCCCTCACCGTGGCCACGAATCAAGGGCGCGAAGTCAACGATCTCCGGTCCGTGCCAGCCCGGCCGCCACGCCGATAATCCCAAAGGCAAATAGTGCCGTCGATGGCGTTATTGTGGGGAAATACTTTACTTTCAATTATCCCTTTTTCCTAGATCCAAGCGTTGTCACGGATGGGGAGTCAAGCCAACTCGTTGCCCACAATGTCTTCTCCATCGGTGTCCGACGAGGTGACTGGGTTCACCAGCGCTCCGCCGCCTCCTCCCCCTCCGCCCCCTAAGCCGCCAGCCGCAAGTGTACAAGTCGATGATGACATGAGACCGGAAATGGCGCTCTCTCCCAAGGCTCCCGAACCAGTGAAACAAAAACGCCTCCGTATTCCACGTATTTTTTTTATTCTTTCCTTCCATTGCCTTCTTTCAGCACCGGAGAGAGCGGCCATTGATCGCGTTTTGGGTCGTTCTACCGAGTCGAAGCCGGAGCGGACAGAGAACTTGAAGGCCCGCCTGGTCGGTTTTGTCTTCAGATTGGCTTGTGGGGATTAAAGATTTTACCCAGTTTTTTTCTCTGTAAAGCTAGAATGAAACCAAAACCAAGTGATATTTGTATTTTGTGGTCTTTAATCTTAGTTGGTTGTTTAGCGTTAGTCATATTTGTTTCAGCATCAGATTACTCCTTCATTGGGCGCGTGTCCGCTTGGCCTGGCTCGCTCACCGAGGGCTTGGTCCTGCAGCTAAAGGCGATCGAAGCTCAGATGGCCCGCCGGCCGATTCAATTCGATTGGAACAAGTCAACGTATGTTTTAGTTTTGGGCATGTGAAGGATGATTTTTGTGCGTATCTTATAGTAATCCACTTTTTAGGCCCCAATTTTCCTCGCGGCCAACGACCATCCCGACGTACTTCCCGTCTGCTCCGCCGCATGTGTCCAGCTCCCCTGAATATTTCGATCGTCTCGCGCCGGAGACGCTGTTCTTCCTCTTTTACTACTCGGAGGTCAGAAAATTGTTTATTTATTGATTCTTATTTTTAGGGCACAAGAAGCTGCAGCTGCTATCGGCGAGGGCGTTGAAGAAGGCTTCATGGCGGTTTCACTATGGCTACCACACGTGGTTCCAGCGCAAAACCACACCTCACGAAATCACGGACACGTTTGAAAAGGTAAGGATTGTTTAAATAAAAATATTAGCTTTCTTTTTCTGCGAATTGCGTTCAACACTCATTTTCAGGGTACGTACATCTACTGGGACTGCGAGGCATGGAACTACGGGCAGCGCGAGGACTTTTGCTTTGAGTACCGCTACCTTGAGGATGAGGATCGTGAAGCAAGAAAACTCGCATAGATGCCCGCTTGACCCCTTTCATTTATCTTACGTGTTCCGGATTCGTGATCTCTGCTCTTGATTTTCCAATCGTTTCCTTATAAACATTGTTCTTGCTTGGAAATGTCATAAATTGTTTATAGTCCTTGATGGCTTGTACTCGTTTGATTTTCTGGGAAGACACACATATAGACACGGTTGGATGCGACTTACTTTAGTCGAGTTATCTCCCTAGTTTCCTAGTAGTAGATCTACTTTACTTTTGCATACAATTTACCATGCAAGGTCGTTAGATTTCCGGATATCTGACAAAATTTACATTGAAACCCTGATATAAAATAGATCGCGGCGCGTCTGTAGTCGTTTACCAAAGGCAACATGGCGGCCGACGGCAAATCGACGATGACGACCATCGGTCTGAATGGTCAGCCGCCGCCACCCATCCCGACCACCCCGCCGCCCGCCACGACCCCGACCGGCACGACGCCAAAGCGGCCGCCCGCAACCCGGAAGAAGAGCTCGGTGGAGGTGCAGCTGAAGAAAGGAAGAAGTGGAAGCGGAGGAATTCAAAGGACGCGATCAACACCCGAGGTGCTGGAAGAAGGTGCCGTCGAAGACTTGCTCGGTCGACTCGAACATCGCGCCCGACAAGAAGACGCAGAGGGCCAAGGGAAAATCCGGAAAGAAGGACAGAAAAGAAACACCGGAGAAGAAAGAAACACTGGAGAAGAAAGAAGCGCCGGAGAAGAAAAAGAAAGGTACGAAGATTGTTTTCGCCTGATTTTATTGTTTTTTCAGAGTTGTTCTGCGCGACGATCGCCGTCACTGGAAGCAAGGCCGACGTGCTGGCGTCGACGACCGACTTCATTCGGTCTACGAAGTGCCTGGGTAATATTTAAATTCGTAGTGATAGAGCTAGAAGGATATGTTTTCTTGCCAAGCCTGTAATTGCCGCTTTAGGCATCGACAACTTGTGCAAGCAGTTCGAAGAGCTGAAGACCTACGTGCCGGCCAACCCAGCGGCCACGGCGTTTGAAGCGAACCGCGTCAAGAACCGCTACATGGACATCCCCTGCCTCGACGAGACGCGCGTCAAGCTCACCATTGAAGATAAGGAGCGCGAAGGCGATTACATCCACGCCAATTGGTGCAAGGTGAGGCCATATCTCATGCTCCTACAACCTCAATTTCTAGATACCAGACGGGCCGACGTTCATCGCTGCCCAGGCGCCGCTCGACACCACCATCGGCGATTTCTGGCGCATGTGCTGGGAGCATGAAGTCGTCAACATAGTCCAACTGACGAAGTTGCAGGAGGGCGACAAGATCAAGGTAAATATCCAATGTCGAAAAAGATTATTTTTACATTTTGCATTCCTTACATTAATTTTTCTAGTGCTCGGCGTACTGGCCCACCGAACCCGGCGATCACATGAACCCGTCCGGCTGGTTCGTCAACAACAAGAAGAAGGAGGACAAGGGCGGCTTCAACACGCTGACCATCGAGCTGCTGCCGAACGGCTGCTCGAACAGTCGGATGTTGCGGTACTGTTTTCATTGTCCTCCTTGGAACACATCGATTGTTCAGCATCATCCAGTGCCTCGATTGGCCGGACAAGGGCGTGCCGGCTGGCCACCGGGAGATCCTCCGCCTTCTCCGCGTCGTCGCCGACGGTGACGTGCTCAATCCGGGACAGACGTTGATGCACTGCTCGGCGGGCATAGGCCGCACCGGCAGCCTGATCCTCACCAGCTGGGCCCTCTCCAGGCTTTACGCCGGCAAGCGCATCGACATGAAGCAGTTGCTGCAAACACTGCGCGACCAGCGAGCGCTCGCCGTCCAGAGCACCAGCCAATATCTATTGGTGTTCCTCAGCTGCGTCGAATACATCACGGTTTGTCAATTCTTTGCCTGCCTGTTCCACCATTTTTTAGAAGAAGGGCACGGTGCCGGCGAGCGACACGGCCACCCTGATCACGGACCTGCGCAACGCCATGAACGCGATGCAGACGCTGCCGGCCACCAGCCACTGAAGAGCCCACCGGGGAAGAAGAATTACACAAGTCGATGAAAACAAAAAAAACCGAACTCATATTATGTCTCTGTCATTGGCCCATTAATGCCTGTTAATAAAGTGTTGGCTATGCATTCTGTGATCTATTTACCCGCACGAGACTTCACAACTGATCTGCACAACATGCACGAACATCACAACGAACGGAACAGGTTGAGGGATAGCATTCATCAACTTATTTGCTTCATCGTCAACGTCGAGTCTTTGAAGGTAATATACGCAAAGCCTTGGTCGCAAATTGTCGCACCATAGAGCAGAGCATCGCCTAAAGAACATTGTGCTGAGACGGTGATACCCCTAATTTGGTGGCCAGGAGTCGATTTTAGGTGTTATCGGGGATTATTACTTTTTATTCGATTGGGCTTGAAATTCTGAACAAATCCCGTCTTTTAAAGGGCTGAAGGACGATTTGCGAGAAGTTTTTTTTCAAGCGTCGATCTCCACTTCTTCGCCTTGCAAAAAAATTTCACGAAGACTGCCCTCGATCAGCAGGTTCACAAAATGCGACTTCTTCAGAATGCAGAATCAACTAAAAGAGACCGCACCAGGCTTTCTTTCGCAGTAAAATGGCTCCAAGATCCGATCCAACATTGCCCAGCCGCCATACATGCAGGACACGACCATACATTCCGGATGTTGTTCAATGTTCCAAACGCCGCCCGCCAACTGAAAACTCTCATCTATTGCATACGGTATATATTTACCATTCTCTCATTGACAGCCTGCGACGGGTTCCGTTGATCGTAAACACGAATGAACTGATCGTAGCTTCCCGTTAGCACTTGGCTATCATTGCCTCCATCGGAGCTGAACTAGGAAAATCTGCACCAAAAACACGAAAAACACACCTGGGGCCTACACGAAAGTACAGCCAGAACCATCTGTCGACACCTTGATGCGACTGGATACGATCCGCTGTTCTCGTATCCCATAGACAAAATGCGCATCTTCGCCGCCGGATGCCAAGGTATTCGAGTCGACGTGCGCGCAAGACCAGACCTAGAATCAGGTTTTTAAGAGATGACCCGTCCATTACATTATGGATACTGGACTGTTAGCGCGGGGGGAATGTCAACGCGGAGGAACCAATTTTTACACACACACATTTTACTTTTTGGTCAAAATCTACGAAAAATAATCTACAAAATTAAAAGGTTTCATATTTTTTGAATTCTTGTAATATCCTAGCATTTAAAAACTACTCAGACACCAAAAATACACTACTAGAATGCTCGTGTAGGCGCAAATGTAGAATTTGGCCCCCGTTGCTACTCCCCCCCCCCACTAACAGTCCGGTACGCCTTCTATTCCGATTGTGTGATACCTCGCAATTTTCCGTATATCGCAAATGATGACCTTCCACGAGCGTATGATAGCCTTCGTACTCCCGTCGAGGAGGCTCAACTGGCCATCGCCATGCGACACGGCCACATAGTCACCGCTCGGGGACACATCCAGAATCATTCTACCGACGTCATCGCCCTCTAAAACTCGCATTTAGCAGCAAAACAAAACCTAGACTACCTGTGGTAATCTGCGTTTTGCTTTTCAACGAGCGATCCTTGAGTGAAATTTCCGCCAACGACCCATCTGATAGCGCGGCATAGAGCAGGGCGCCTTGTTCGGCAAACTTGAAACGGTGCACACCAGCCGGGAAGTCGATACGTCCAAGCTAAACCGAGATCACATTGAATGAGCGCTAGTCCGTGAGTGTTCATTTCGCCGAAATTAATGGCGCCAAATTTCATTTAGCCGAACCGTGCTATCAATTTTGAACATTTGCTAATGATTGTATCTGGTTCCTAGCGTTGAAAAAACAAGTCCACTAGCAGAATCCAATGTTTTCCTATTGCAATCATCAAATTCCAATCTGCGGTTCTACCTAATGATCGAAAAATATAGGTTTGAGATCAGCTAGATAAAAGCTACTGAAAAATGACAGAAAGCAAATTAGCAATCGTAACATTTGGTGAAATGGTTCTGGTTCTTTGACGGGGGACTTCAAAAAGAGCCGAATAGGTGAGTCAGCGTGACTTCCCCCCATTACTGAACCAGAGCCGACGAAATAAATCTAAATCCCGCCATACCTCTTTCGCTTCACCATGCTTGAAGAACCGGAATGACCCTTCTCGTGTGGAGCCTTCAATCAGTTGGTACGTGGCAACGACCAGAAGAGAATTGTCCCAAGAGCGTGCAAACGACGGAGATTGACCAAGATCGATTTTGACTTCATCAATGGCCGGAGGATGCCGCTTGTATGCTTGGACCCAAGGCGACACTTCAGTCATCTATATAAAACGACTTATCTTCCGCAAAATGACAGAATGCAATAACCCATCTAGACCAACAAACAATGGTCGTGCAATTAAAGCCAGGTCCCTTTGATGACGTGTATTTCAAAACGTTTATTCCGGAAAATAGATTAAATACCGAGTAAAGACATCAAAGATGAACAAAAACGTGGTGGTACTGTAAGGTATACAACTTAGAACAATGCGTACATGTTTCCGTGGGCTGATCGGTGGAAGAGATGAGGATCCGAGCGGTTGGCCAACTATACATTTTTTTTAGAAGCAGCAAAATGCTTACCTCTTCTTTCGGATCACGTTTGACGCCTCCAGAAGGTCCATCAGGAGCGGCACCAGATACGGCAACCTTCTTGATTCCCTTCATTCTTTGTTGTTCGCCTTGGTGTTGAACTTCTTCCAGTCGTTTTTCTCGGATTCCTGGAAGCGTGAATTAGTATGGCTTTCGAGGCAGAAGCCAGCGAGTTTTAGTAAGGTGCATCGGAACGTCTTTTTTGTTTATACTGTATTTCCTCCAATTTAAGCCAAGGGTCTCTATATTTTCGACACCTGAAAGGGTGATTCGGGGCTTAGATTGGAGATAATACGGCAATAGATAAAAATTAGAAGTTGATCAAGAGTTAATTACTAAAATCACCTTGGCATTGTCCAGTTCTTTCCGCTTCATCCTCTTCTGAGACTTCAGCCGCTTTCTTCTCGTTCTTCCTAAACAATGTGTGAAAAACAGTATGTACCCTACCTGCTGCGTTTTATTTAGAAAATTGCGGCCACTTCCACCCGGCAGGCCTCCTTTCCCTTTATCTTCGAAAACGCCCTTTCCTGCACCGGCGCCATCTTCAACGAGTTCAAGTCCGCGAGAATTTGTTGCTTATTGCCTAAAATAAATTTACAAACAATAGAGAAAAACTCAAACCTAGGAAGGTCACAGACGCTGTCGTTCCAGAAATTCCGTCAATGATTGCATGATAGTACTGGCCATTATTTCCTTGGCTTGAACACGATCTCCGACCTAATGAAAATTGTTATAAACAGTTAGAATTTGCCTTCCATTGCACCGAACCGTCGCCATCACCATTCCGTGCATCGTTAGCAATAATTTCCGAGCTAAAAATAGTTTGCAATCCAGATATCCAATGTACCTGTAGGTTGATAACTTCCTGCAGGTCACCCTTCAGTTTTAGGAGTTCCGGGTTGTTCCGATCTTTTAGTAGAGCCGCTTCCACCTAAATTGTAATTAGCGGAATCAGAAAACCAAGATACCTGCTCAAGCTGGAGTTTAAAATTCTCGAGTTCGTCTTGGCCGGACATTCTAAATCTTCAAAAATTAACTTTAGAGCAGGAATGAAAGCAAACGATAATTTCGGCAATCGAATGACGCTATGAAAACGGCAAGGGCGAAACCGAGAGAGAGTGAGAGTGCGGAGAGTCTAGACAGATGTTGGAGGGAGCGCAGAAATAGCAGCTAGCCAATACCACACTAATATCACACACCGTCGTAGCAAATCAGAAAATTACAAAAATTATCAAAGCAATTTGAGATAGTTATAAACTTCATCATAGACCACTAGCATAATAGCGCCACCCGGGCCCAGACGCAAAATCTTAGGGAGAAGCCCTTTGTACAGCGCCCGAATTCCTTCTTCCCTATAAACAAGGGCTATCGATTGTAGACATCCGTGGTACTTTCGAGTTGTCGGGTCAGGTTGTGGGCCTTGGATTCGGCTTTTGCCACATCAGTTGGTATGTTGACGACTGAAGCCAACGACCCGGCCAGAAATCCGAGTAAGACCCGGAAGCACAGATTCAGTGACGGGCTACCCTGCGCATCGGGGGCATAGGACTTCATGTTGTGATAGAGACCAAAGTAGACCATATTCCACGTGCCGTTTCTTGCCATTGTCGCCGTAAGTCCACGAAAGATGCCGCTCGTTCCGTATCCTCGGAGTTGATGATGGTGCGTGCCAATTGTGTGGCTGACGGGATTTCCTTGGGGCCCATATTCCGCATGGATTGCAACCGGACCTTGACCAATTCGAATGGGCACACCACGACAGCCTCGGTCATCCCTGAGCAGAGCCCGGCCAGGCTTAGACTAATGACTGGCGATGTCGTCGGACCACTTAACAGGCTTTTGTACTGTTCAAACGTAAAGAACTTGGTTGCACGCTTCGGCGTCTCGGCGAGCATCGGCGGCAGAATGCCCTTGTAGAAGCCGGCGACGCCTTCCGTCCGGAACGTCTTGCCGACGAGGTCGACCATGCCGCGATCGTGGGATCCGTTGTAGCCGCGTCTTGATCAAGTCAAGCGGGTGCATTATGCAGACTTCGACGAGCCCGGCAGAGCCACCGGCAACAATTTGGCGCCCGCCCTCGCGCCAATCGTGCATCTCCTGAAAAAGAAAATATAACGGACAATTGTGAAGGGAAACCGGAAAAAAGGGAAATCTTTGCATGGTTCCAAAAAAAGGGCGGGGAAAGCGTAATCTTCTCCAGTTTTTTGTCTTCCAGCAACTCGAATGGGACGAAACAATGTGTGATCGATAAAGGTAATGAGAATTTATTATCAGCATCGTTTAATAATCTATAAGGGTGGTAGATATGTTGGTTTGTTGCTTGAAATTCGAGTGATGAAATCGTCTCCGTTCAGGGCATGTCCTCATCGTATTGCGTAGCCTGAAAATGGGATTTCGATGTTGCTCAGTCATAAAGTGTCGGTCGACGCCCTCTTTCCTGTCGAATTACCATAAAAAACAAAAGGTTCACGACCTGCTCTTCAATGTCAAATCCGAAATCAGGTGCGGAATCGTCCGGCCGCTTCAACCCCTTCAAGTCAGAGAAAAAGGGATGCGACAAGATCTTATGAGCGGGGATCCTACAATGATTTTCGTCTCGTCTTTTTATTGCAAAAGGCTGACCGTTGTTTCAAGCTATAGACGAGGATCCTTTCGAGAAGGGGCACCATGTCCTTCGGGAGCTGTGGGAGGTGCTAAAAGTGATGACCAATGCTTTTCATGGTCAAGATACCTTCAGCAAACCGAGTTTATTGCCCTTCCGGACGCGCGGTCTGCCAACGTTCATCGTCTGCCGCAGTGGAAATTATTAGGGCCGGTTGCGTTAGTATACCTTCAAATCATCTTCACTCGGGTAGCCGAGCACCGCGACCAGCAAATTAGCTTGAAGTTTTGTGCTGGTTGCGCGGAACAGGACCTATAAAAATGGCTTGCGGCTACCCCAAGGGCAGGAATGTTACTTTTCCCGTCGCCATCTCGGCCATCACACAACCAGCCGACCAAACGTCTGAAATTTAGGGATTTAAGGCACTTCCAGTCTACCCACCTATCCCACAGGTGAAACGCCGCGAGCCGAAGAGCAACTCGGGTGGCCGGTAATAACGCGTTACCTGGAAAGCTAAAATTAAATAAGTCAAAGTGGCAAACAACCCCAGCAAGCAATTATAGCTCACCTGATAGGAAATATGCGGGACGTCATAGTTGATAATTCGAGCATTTCCAAAGTCTGCTATTTTCAGCTGCATCGTTGTCTCGTCGAAGATCAGGTTGGCCGGCTAGTAGCAACTTTCGGAGGCCTCGAACAAATACCCACCTTTATGTCGAGATGAATGATGTGCATCGATGAAAGATACGCCAAAGCGTTGAAGAGTTGCCATGAAAGGATCTAAATCATTTTTTTGAAAGCCAAACAACCCTCACCTTCGTATTTTGTAGACCAAAACCGTTCCGCGAGGCCTTCAGTATTTTGCCAATCTCCTTGGGCAAGTAGTCGAGTATAAGATTGTAGCCATCCTACAAGAGCAAGACAACTACTAATACCACTAATCCATTTCAAGGTAATGCCAGTTACTTACTGCCGGTGTGCCGGGGGTTATCCAGTAGTAATAGAGGAGCGTGACACAATTCTGATGGTGCACCTTCTTGAGCACGTCGATCTCACCAAACTAAAGCCAGAGAGAACAAGCTCGTGAACAATATCACCAGGCTACCAATTGCGACTGTGTCGGGCAGTCAGCCGGGGCGCCATCAGAATCGGAAGTCGTCCCGTTCGTTGGCGTATTCCTGAGAAATACATAGAGATGAGAGGCGCAATCCCTAAAAAAAACCAACAACCCCCCTCGAATCAAAAACTACTCTAGAATTTTGCCAGGGAACGCCTAAATCTTCTCTTACCCGTGGACTCGTTTGAGAGCGACGAGCCTCCGTTCCGGACCATCGATTTGCCACAGTTCGACGGTGGCAAAGCGGCCGTCACCAAACTTCAGTAGTCTTTCTGAAATAAAGACTGTTATCCTCAACGTCTAATTCACCAACCTGTGAAATCTAATTGCGCGCTGGAAGCTGTGCCCTTGCCGTGTACTCTGGTCGCGAGGACACGCGGCATTTGGACCGGCGTCCGTCTTCAGAATACTATCAAATTTTTTTTGTTGAGAAATGTGGAAACTGCTTACCACACGCGCAGGCAGGTACCGCGGGTGGTCATAAGCACTCTTTTGGTATATATCGCAAACAATTTAAATAAAAACTATATAACTAAGTCCGATAAATATGTAGAATCTATTATAGTATATTAAAACGCATTAAATAATATTATAAGACGTTTATTAAGTAGTATTTCTTCATAAATTACGCCGCGGCCGATAGTACCTGCCTGTGTTTTTGGTATGCCGTAATGTGGAATACCTGGCACCGCCCGTCCGGGATTAGCAAGCTGTAATAGCACTCTTTAAACGAGTAAAAAACGATAAAATTTATGCAAAAGGTGGATTCAACCGTGCAGAGCGGGCCTTCGAAGGCCGGAGTTGGACCGCAGGGGCCTCATGATCAACGATTTCGGTTTTCTAACCGGAATTCGGACAACGGGGCGGCTTTCCAGCTTCTTTACGTCACATGAATCAAACGCAATTATATTTTTTTGCTGAAGATTGTATAAAAAGTCAACAATAATCGATTTTTAGCTCAAAAATTGCTAAACACCATCATTGATACAGTTTCCTAAAACACGGTTCGCTACTGAAATACCGTAGAATGTGTGAACGCTGCGAGACCGCGTTATTTTTGTCAGCCGATCACTTTTCCTTTCATCAGAGTTTTTGCACAAGAATTTTTTTGGATTTTACGATGTCGAATGCTTGAAATGCAACCCTGCACAGAAACCGTACAAATTGAGCTTTTATAAGAAAGTCAAGATTCTGAGGGCTTTCTGTGCGGGTTGCTTTTCGAAGTTATTTTTCTCATTTTCAAAATGCGTCGAGTATCCCGAAATAGCGGCATTCGTTTATTCAACTGTGTTTCAGAATATGGGTCGAAAGTCGCAAGAGAAGCCGCCGTTCACGCAGCCCGTCGAAAAAGATCAGCCGGCGTGGCGGTCTCGATCTAGAATGCTGCGCTCATCTACGCCAAGTCCCGCTGTAGCTGCAACCCCCTTGCCGTCTAACAAGAGCTTGACGACGAACGGTAAGCTTTTCGTTTTCTGGGCAGATATGGTCTATCTGCTGATTTGTCGAGTTTTGCTTCTCGCTCTTGCCCGACTATCATGTTATTCATTTAGTTAACAACGGCAGTGCCGTTAGCAAGCCGCGCGGCCGTCCCAAGCGCGCCATGTCGGCAGCCCCCAGCAAGCCGCGCGGCCGTCCCAAGCGCGACATGTCGGCAGCCCCCAGCAAAGAAATCAAGAGGTCAAGGCGATGTACGTCAATTGGTAATCCATTGATGGGTTTTGCGTTATTTATGGTTTCTAGCGCCAGAGTCAATGATGTCGGGAGTCAAAACATCGTCTCCGTCGCCTACCCGTGCGCGACTTCCGCCTAAAGGTTTCGTCGTACTTGGTTGCTTAGCAAATACTGTTATATTTAGTGGCTGCGACCGATCCAGGCCCTGCCGACATGTTTACCCCAAGGGCTGCTCCGCGTCTGCAAGAACCGGCGGCTCCGGCAGTTTCGCGAGATTTCATGCGGAATCAGTTTGCCGCGCACATAGGGCGCCTTGAGCGTCACATAGGCCACCTTGAGCATCACATAGGCCACCTTGACCGTAAGGTGGAAGAGGTATCTTGGTTGTTTTTTCCACTCACGTATCTTTAGGTGTCGCGACAAATAAACGACTACCTTCCCCGGATTGAGGCAGCGATCGCTCGAGGGCTCTACGCCCAAGGTGCCGCCACACCGCAATTTCCGTCTTGTTACGGTACCGTGGAATCTCTTATTAAATTTTTTTCAGGAGGTGCTTACGTCTCGCAAACGTGCTTTGATCCAACTCCACAACTGCAGACCGAACAATACAACCAAGGAAATGTTACACCTCAGTGTATGCGGCCGTCCGGCGGGCTCAATTCACAGGTTCGAATTTTCTTAAGGTTTTTACCAGTCTCCTAGAATGCGCCCATTACCCGTGACGCCATGTATGCGGAATACCCAGCGCCTTCCATGCACAACAATTCTGCTATGTACCCAGTTCAGCGTACACTGCAAGGCTATGAGGAGGTGCAACAAGATTATTATGACGTTGACGAAGGCACTTACAACATTAACCAAGATAATGTGTCATCAGTGAACTCGGACCTTTCCTACGCCTACAACAAGCACCAGGCGGTAAGGAGATTTTTCGCATTAACGATTTTTGCTTAGATCGCCCTTACCTCGCAATCTTATGCGTCTCCGACTCGTCCGCTGGCTTCAGCCCAGTCTGTCGATCAACCAGAGGTTCCTATTATCCCGAAAGCTTTATCTCTTTTTGTTAGATTTTTCAACAAGTGAACGAACAGCCGGGACATGCGCAAATCGACGTTCGCGGTCCGGCCGACCTAGATGAAGGAACTCCCACTGAGCAGCTCGTTGAGAACCTCAAGTACTTCAATGACAATGAAAGTAAAATGGGCTTCCCGTGCGGAGACTACCCGGATTATTAGGCCACTACATAACCATTTTCCACATTGCTTATGATGAATTGCTATGATCATGACTGATGCATGAATTCATGTTCGCCCGCCCCGTTTGCCCCCCTTTTTGTTCAATAAATTTACTGTTTTGTTTATGTTGGCTGTCACCATGCGCAGGGGTTTCGGCTAAAACTGTATCTTGAGACTGGTGCATTTTCGCGAATAGCTGCTTTTTTTCTAATTCCGATGTAGGCGGCGAGTGCTTCCGGCTAGCTTTTGGCGGTCAGAGGGAACTCAGACAAACAGCGCGCTGCTATACACGCGACACTTACGAGCCTCTATTCGCTTAGTTTTGAAAGGCGCCTTTTCATGAACATTGAGATGGAATATCCGCGCTGGCGGTATAATACTTCAGTTCTTGTGATATTTTGCGAACTGAAGCGTTTGCCGTTAGGATGGCAAATTTTTCTTTCAAGCGCGAACCGGCAACCCGGCGTTCAACTTCTGTTTTACAGTTGAATGGATGATGAGCTCGAGCTCCATGCAGAAGGACTTCGGGTCGACAACATTCACGGGACCATATTCTGGCCCGGGCCTCTCCGGCTACGAAAAGATTTGCCATTGGATAAGGTGGGACGTATGTTCGATAAAATGGAACCTCTTATTAGATTATTCGATTCGGCCATCGAGAAGTGGAAGTTTACTCAAATGGTCATGAGCCAGCCGTTGGCACTGAGCTGAATCAGCATGCTCAGATTGTCCTCAAAAATATATGGCCACCTGCGGACAATAACGACGAGGTGCTTTTGGAAATTCAGGCATTCGCTTTTTTAGAGTAGTCTCGAAGCCTGGACCTATGATCTCAAGCAGCGTCTCGGACGGCTAGATGCCGTATTCCAATCATATGACAGCGCCGATGGTTTGCTCCGCTTCGAGGTTGAACATTTTTCCAAATATGGACTGAATGTGGGTTTGCTGACGTATTTCTTATCCTGCTATGAAATGATTTTATCCTATTATGAAAAAAATGTATTTCTTTTATTCTTAGTCTAAGTCCGATAGCTCGGCTATGTTTTGTTTTTCGCTTATCGATCGCGGACGATCGCTGCTTATGCATTTATTTGCAGGATGACGAAGATGGTGAGGTTGAGCTCCCTGCTGCCGATGCCAACAGCTCTCTCAGCGAGTATGAGCTGCATTTACAGGTGCAAAAGGCCAAGATGCAAGGCATGCTACTCGATCCGTCCTGTCAAGAGGTATCCTGTTCACCGTCATAAATATTCGCTTCAGATCCCGCAAACGCCGCCACACATCAGAAATCTGGCCTTCAACACACCGCGCTACAATGCTGTTGTACGTTTTTTTATCGGCAACACCAGTGGGATCCTTTAGTATTGCTGGTGGAGGATCCGAACGTTCCAAAGTAATTTACTGGTCTTATCAGCAGTTTGGAAGAGAAAATGTTCAAAAAGAAACGCTCAACCGTAATTTGAATTTTTCATCCAAAGACCAAAATTTTGGTAGTTTTACAGATTTTTGCAAAGTTTTACGCTTGGGAATAGTTTTGAAACACTTCATCCAGTTATGTTAGAAAAATTAGTTACTAAGGAAAATATTCGGATTTCCACCGGACATCGTTCCCCCCTTTCCACGAAAATTAAAGGACCACCAACCGTTTTAGCGCACGCCAAACATGAAGACGAATATGACATTCATCAACCAACCCGCCAAGTTGGCCCTCTCGTTCAACATGGACGAGCCGTTGTTTCGCGAGAATACGATGCCGCACTTTGAGTAGGGCATCTACGCGTTCCATTGAATGTTTTTAGTCGATCCGTGCTCTCTGAACGCTCCCAGAACGACCTGTCCTACAGATCTCAGCACGAATTGTGAGCGTTTATTTTTGATTCGAAGGATCGGTTTAGAGCCATGGACACGGATGACGTTTCTGCCTCTAAGAAGCGCTGTGTGGAGGGCAGCATTGATTTGGTGGACTCGTTTGGGTCAGTTTTTTGTCTCTAATTTCCACACATAAGGGCGCCTATCACGTTTTTATGTGAGATAAGATTTGAAGGTCCAAAGTTACCTTGGCAGCCGTACGTCAGTCGCTAATTGCTAATTTTTAAGTTTCAGTGAATTGGAGCCACGCCGACGGTCTGCGAAAGTTGAGCGTGAACCAGTGAAGAAGTTGCCTGACACCGAGCTGCGTTGGTTGTCGCCGGGAGAGACAATTCGTCCTCCACATGGCGGTCCGGTGGATATTGTGGCGCAGCGCGGGATGGCCTTTGTTCATCGAGGTCTGATACACGGGAACTGTCGATAATAAACTATCCTAGGAGAGTCTGGCAAGATGGTGCTGGCTGACGGGCCCGAAGTTGACGCGATTATGGTGGCAGCCAACGAATTTGAGCAACTTCCTGTGGTTTGCTATCCTTAATTTTTTTTATTGTCATTTAGGATTTCCTGGAAGACGTCTTCGAGGTTACGGCCAAGAATGCAGTGACTGAAGCTGGCGACGAAAAGCAGGCCCCACTTGTAAAGGCTGGAGACAATTTTGCGGCGCTTTGCCAAGATTATATCACCGTGCACGCCAGATGTAAGTTTCCCTGGAGTGACTTTTTAAGATGCGCGAATTTTAGACGACCGAGCTGCCGAGGTGGGGCTTTGGAATCTGGCCGAGCTGCTCTTCAAGCCAAACGACATGGACCAATCACTATGTGAGCGCTTTTTAAGACTTCTTGGTGTAGTTAAAGTTAACGCTTTTTAAGCGTCGATCACGTATGAAAACCACGAGCAACTAGATTAGACATATCTGAAGGCCCAGATTTCGACTTCCTTTCCAGATGACTGGGATCGTGAGCGTTCGTACCAGCTGGATTTGTGGCTGTGTAAAATGTTGGAATTTGAACAACCGGTGACGCTCTGGGACTACGTAACGCAAGGAAAAGTCGACATGGTCGGTTGCAACTATGCTTTATTGAATTTTATTTTAGCTGGTCGAATCGCCAGAATTCTCACGATTTACCGTCGTACTGTTCTTGCAGTTGAGCAACGACATCGTGGTGCGCAAGAAGGCCCAGAAGCAGGTAAATTGGGTTCCGGTTCGGGGAAATATTGACTGACATTTTTCTAATTGTATTCTTGAAAGCAGTTTTCAAGCATGTTTTCGAAAACAAGTTTTTTGAAAAGTCATTAAGTTGGTTAGTTCATATTAAGTTGTTGCTTCGAAATTCAACCCATGAAGGATTTGAGCCACTATTTCTGATCTCCGGTAGCCGTCTCCTTTTGGGAACTCGATCCAATATTTTGGGAATCAGATGAAAAATAATGATAATGAAATGAGAAATCCTATCTTTAGATCGCTCATTGGCGTGAAAGCCAACAGTTGGAGCTCATCGAAGAGAACGAGCTCAAAGTGTATATGGTCATTGCCGGGATGCGCGTCCTGACATGGAAAAACGCCCGCGGCGCGTCCCACAGTGTCAACATCTACGACGGCCTTAACTGGCTTCAGGCATCGGCAGATTTAGGATTTAAACAAGTTTTCAGGCCCTCGGACTCCAAGTGCGTTACCTTGGCGCTGAACTGGAGCCCATCTCCGAGTCGGTCCAGCGGCTATTGGTGTGTAAATTGTGGTCGTTCAATTTTCTGCTTTTAGAAAGACAGCGAGGACGGGCATTTCACGTTGCCCAGCAAAGAGGTCGCCTGGGAATTGATCCGGTTCGGTTGCCATGAACAAAATCGCGCCCTTGACGTCACCGTACGGGCAACAATTCCCAGCCGCAGAGTGTCGAATTATTATCTTGGGTTAGTGCTTCGGTTTTTTCGGCCGCAGCGCAGTCAACTTTTTCCCTTAGGAGCCACTTTTTGCTCGTAAATGGAAGAAATTTTGATTGAAAATCATAGAAAATAACAAGAAAAGGAAAACTAGCGACCAAAAATGTCCAAATAGTTTTTCGACCTTTTTAAAGATAATTTTTCCGTGAAATATAGCCACATTTCGATCAAAACATTATAAAAATACACACTTTTACGTTGCCCGCACCTGGACTTTACAAAGTTTGTCCTAATTTTTCCTGCAATTGATCGGTAACATCTTGACTTTTCCAGCTGGCACCTCTGGACGGTCGTTCGAACATCCGGTGATTGGCGAATGAAGCGCTCCTATGAAGACGAGCTGACGGTGGATTACGCCGAGCAACTCGCCAGCTATGGAGCCCTTCATCTGGCCGTTTTCGTCCTCTGCCACATAACTGATTCGGCTAGGTACGGTTTTTTTTATGGAAATGTAGCGCTGTTTCTAGCCGTGAATCCGCCGTCCGTTCTCTACTCGAGCGCAACGCAATGAGGCTGAACGAGCGAATCGTGGGCAGGCTGTGTCGATACGTGAATATCCCATCCACATGGATTCACTCGGCACTTGCCCTCCAGGCTAAGGTACTTTTTCAAGAAGAGTTAAATCCATAGGATTCAATCCGGGAATCAGAATTGGTGCATAGATAGAGGTGATGACGCTAGTTGTGTATTTTTTTAAGTTTTGCTACGGGCGTATTGAATCAGAGAAAATGTACACTCGACGTAGAAAACACGACATTTTGCCGGATTTTCTCTAGCGTATATATCTCGAGTTCTAGCCGTCGCTAGCAAATTCCAAAAAATCGGTAATATTAGTACCTTTGAACGGGGTTGAACCTACATTTTTGTCTCTCATCTTTATGTTTTAGAGAAATCAAAACCCTTTCAGCAGAAGGGCCGATCAGCCTCGTATTTCGAGCATCTGGTGCACGCCGAGGAGTGGATCGACGCCGAGCACGTTTACACCGAAAAGTTGGCGCCGATGGCCATTGAATTGGGTATTTGGCTGATTTTGATGATGACGGTTTTCCAGATGACTACAACGCCCTTCGACGGTTCACCAGTCTGCTGCTCTCGAACAAGACACCGCAAAAGGTTTGTTCTTTGGGCGGATTTTCGATTCTTTGCCTTTATCGGGGGTTGTCGCCAGCTTCGCTTTTTCACGCTATGCACCTTTTTCCAAAAAAGTGGTTTTCTAATCATTTAGGATAATAAAAACCTAAAATCGTTTTAAAAGATCATTTTTTTGGGTTTTGCCCGCTTTTCATACATTTCGACCAAAATACTCAAAGATTGGTAACTTTTTAGGGTTATATCCAAAAAATATAATTCACTATGGCACCCATAATGACGAGGATTGCGTGATGTCCTATAACTTTTGCATTGCCCAACTCTTTTCAGGCTCACATCCCCGTCACGTCGTTGTACTCTGAATACTGCCGTCTGTACGAGCTGATCTCCTCCCACGGCGCCGCCCGAACCCCCGAGGTGAGCCTGTTCACAGCCATCATCATGTCTGTTCGTTTTTAGGTGGAACAACTCTGCGACTCGATCGATGCCCGTCTCGACAATGAGGAGCAGTTGTCGCCATTGCAGAGGTACGCGGAATTTGCGCGCTTCCGCAACTTGTCTTTTGTGTTTACAGCTCGGCCCGGTCGATGATTGGGCTGACGATGATGCGACTGCGGCGGCGGATCGGGGCTCAGCCCTGGGTGGACGGCGGTGAGCTGGGCAAGCGGTGCTACCGTCTCGGAATCTCTATCATCGATATGGCCATGTGGTACGGGAAGTTGTTGAACTTAAAAATAGAGTTGTCTTTTTAGTAGTTTGGAGGATAAAAAGTTTTTCGTTTCGATTGTCTTGATTTAAATAAAGGATTTGTTGCTAGATTTTTGACCGATATTTCAAAATTTTAAACATTTTTGAAGTTTTATAAAGTTTTCCACCACTTTAAACATGGTTCCCTTTTGCTACAAACGTTATTAAAATCCTACGAGCCATACCCGGATGTAGGAAAAATTTAGGTCCCTCCGATAATACGAAAGAACTATTTTTTTTATTCACGGGGGCTTTATTCTTTATTTTCCGGAAAGTTTCGCGTGGAATCTCAACTTTTCAGCGACCGCGGCGGCCCGTCGATCCTCTGAAGCCACCGGCAAGAAGCCTCCTAACGCCCGGATGAAGTGCAAAATACGGGTCCTCCTCCCATCCACATTCGTTTTATCAGTTTTTAAGTGTCTTTCGTTGTCATGCCCCCGGTTGGATTGTATCTTCTCATATTTATCACCGTTTCGTTGATGACCGTTCGGCACGCATTTGGCTGATCAATGTTGATAAATTTGCTGACAGCTTATTAGTGAAACCAGCCGGTTGTCACAATCGAATAAAATACACGTGTATTGTGGCGGGATATTTATATTTTTCCATAGGATCTCCCGTGTAGATTTGATTGTAGAAACTATAGATTTTTGAATAAAATTTCCAATTTTGTGACAACTGTTCGAAGGTTTTGAGATAGACGATCGTTCTTTTAATAAAAAGACTATGAAAACGCTTCATTTTTTGCTTTAGGAAAAAAATTACCGATAACGCGAATGATCTCCAGTTTCCTATGCTTCAAAAAAATCGTTTGGAGTAGGGCCCCCCCCTCTAGGTTGGGGCTCGGTGGTGTCCATTAATTGTCTGGGGGAACTTTGGCAGCACAGGGGGGGGAACACATTGACGAATTGAACCACTTTACAGGGGGATACGGTGGAATTGTGGAGAGGAATGAGATGGAGAACTACAACTTTAAAGGGATAAGGAAGACGCCGTCATGGATCCTCTATAGGATATGCGTCGCCCGAACACGCAACGCGTTGAGCTACGTCGAAACAGCCAGGTTTTCGAATTATTTTTCCAGGTCAGAAGTTTGCGATTGGTCACGCAAAATTCCAGGCGGCACTTTGCACTATCGCCCTCTTTCAAAATTTATCAATAAATACGCAGATTTATTTGGCTTTACTTTATCTAAGATATTTATAGAACTTTTTAACATTTAAAGCATCAAGAAAACAAAAAATACGCTGAAACGGTCGCAAGTGGGTCTCGGGATTCTGCGCTTAGCGGCGTCGGAAGCTTATTTTTGGTTTTCACCTTTTTTGCTATACAATTATCAAAAATACTTTTGAAATTTTGAGCTTTTACAGTCATTTTTCACATGTTTTTTGACCAAGACGCCAATTTTCGATGGGTTTTAAAATTTTTATGTGCTTTTTAATGGTATTTCGGTCAATGGGCGGTGCGGGATAACTGAAGAAAAATCTTCCCGCTAACAGTCCAGCACCAGCCAGTCGATTTCCAATCTCAGCTCGAGCTCAAGGAAAGAGCCGGCCAGTCCCGGGCCAGGGGGAGATTCCAGGCTCTTTTTTGCCGGGTTCTCAAGGTGTATGTGTGTGTGCTAGAGGGCGAAAAGGGAGGATATGGGGTGGCAGATTGTAACAGCCCTCCTCGCCTGGGCCCTTCCATGAGATGCTTCTCCCCTCAACTCAGCAGGAGAGGGAGGGATTGTGAGGGATCATGAGGGAAGGATGGAGCAAGACCGAGTCTCACAGCCACGATTTGCCTTTGGGGCATCATGGCTGGCCACTGTTTGAGTCGTCGTCGTCTCTCGCGTATGGTACGTCTCCCTAATAAACCCCAGATGTCCAACAAGGCCGCGTTGGCTGGCCGCCAACGCCGAAAATTTCGGGGCTAGATATGTTGAACTTGTTGAAGATCCCGAAATTTGTCGAGGGAAGCGTCTTCTAGCTATTTGGATGTTGCTTAGGGGGCTTACGCTTTTGGCTTTTTCCGGCCTTCACCGGCCGCAAAAGTCGAAAAGTAGATGTTAGGAAACGGTCTCTTCTAGCTATTGCTTCAGCTTCTAGCTACTGGTTCCTCCAGGGCTTAGGGGGTCGCCAGGGGGGGCCCCAAGTTTTCCAACCCCCCAAAAATCCCAAACGAGAAACCGGCGCGGGGGGAAAAATTTTAGGGGGGGGGGATTTGGGGGGCAAAGAGGCGGGGGGAAAGGAAGGGGAGGAGAGAGGGGGAGGGGGGGAGCCGGGGGGGGGAAAAGGCGCCGCCCTTTGGGAATATAGGGCCCCGCCGCTGGGGCCCGGCGCGAGTTAGCGGGGCGGGGGGCTAATTACGCTATGTTCCCTTGGCGCTCTATAAGGGAATTCGAACCCCTTTTAACAGAATCGATTTCGTGATAAAAATCCTATAAAAAATCAGTAAAAGTTTAAATTTGCCCGGTCTATTCCTTTTCTTCTTTTCTTGGCAAAATTTTCAATGGTATTTTCGGTATCGGCTTGCCTTGACTGCGCTTCCGGCTTTCCCCTCCAAATTCTTAGTTTATTTTTTTATTTTTTCCTTAAAAAAACTCTGTATTTTTAGCTCACTTTTGGCCAGGTTTTTGACGCTTTCGACGAGCTTATTTTTGCGGTTATTTCCGAAAAACGAAGTGCTAAATAGAAAACTGTAAAGCGCCATTTTCCACTATAATTGCCTTTTACTAGGATTGCCGTTTAGAATTTGCTTTTCTTCTGCTTGATTCCGTTGCGGATCACTCGCTAAGGTACAACTTTTGAGGGAGGGTCCGATTTTTTGGGAGATAATCCATTTTCTGGAGCTCAGAAGCAAGAGCTTTTGGAGCTCACGAGCAAGAGATTTTGCAGCCAGTGAGTCTGTATCTGGCGCCCACTTTTGTAGCGATTTTTCTGGTCTTCCTACCCATTTCTGCCCGTGTTCTTTAATCGATGAATTACCACCAAGCTGCTCATTCCGCTCATGCTCCCCACCAACCACCACCGATCAATATCGATTTTTGAGCCTGGAAGGGCCCCCTGGGCTCTGTTTCCAAGAAGTATTTCCCCTGCGCGTTGGCTTGTGGCTGGGTCCCTGCTCCCCTGATCCGGCCGTCACTTTTTAGCATGGACTTTTCTCAAGGCCCCCACCAAGCTTTTCCCCTCTGTTTCTCTGCCATACTGTATCTCTGCATCTCTGCCCCCTCTCTCTATCTCTCGTTCGTGGAGGCCGGGCCGGGGGGTTGGTGCTCAGTGTTGAGTGTAACACGCCTCTGCTCGGATGGGGGGGTGAGGGGCTTCTCCTGCTCAGCCTCCTGCTCAGCCTCCTTTCCCCCCTATCCAACACACCCACCCGTAACGGAGGCCAGGAGGGGGAAAAACCTTGTGGCCCTTTTGGCCCTTCCTTTGTCACAGCGCCCACCCTCCGCCCTAGAGCAGCTACAGTCTGCCCCAGCCAGCCGTCAAGTAACGCCACTTTACCTTCTTATTACCTCGATTACTTCCTTATCCTTTCCTAATGATGCGTAAACGACTTACTGACCTTACACCCCATTTCCTTTGGGTGGTTTTCAGATTTGGTCATAATTAACGTACTTAGTCATCCTTATTAGCCGATTATTTGATGCTTTTTAATTTTTCATATTTACCGTACTGTCTACACCCCTTTGCCGCGCTATTATTCGGTACGGCACAAACGTGCCATCCGTACCTTACAGCTACATTACGCTCTTATCGAACCAGGCTGTTAAGGCGTACTTACCTTTTTTAGTTTCTCCGAAGTTTTTCGTACGGCGCATTTTGGTGGACCTAATCTGACGGCGTTTCAGGCTTCACCTGCTTGGCTAGCTTGGCTCCTTTGTCACAGCGCCCACCCTCCGCCCTAAGGCAGTCTGCCCCAGCCAGCCGCCAATAACGCCACTTTACCTTCTATACCCGATTACTCCTTATCCTTTCCTAAATGATGCCGTAATTACCGTACTTTACTGACCTTATCACCCCATTTCCTTTGGGTGGTTTTCTAGATTTGGTCATAATTAACGTACTTTAGTCATTTCCTTATTAGCCGATTATTTTTTGATGCTTTTTTATATTTTTTCATATTTACCGTACTGTCTACACCCCTTTTTGCCGCGCTATTTATTCGGTACGGCACAATACGTGCCATCCGTACCTTACAGCTACATTACGCTCTTATCGAACCAGGCTGTTAAGTGCGTACTTGCCTTTTTTTAGTTTCTCCGAAGTTTTTCGTACGGCGCATTTTGGTGGACCTAATCTGACGGCGTTTCAGGCTTCACCTGCTTGGCTAGCTTGGCTGGCTTCTACATTGAGGATCTGTTTTCACAAGACTTCTGCGCGATAGAATTTCGTTTTCAACATTCTTTACCTAATTTGGCGCCTATTTCTACCGTATTGCAGAAGCCAGAGGCTAACTTTCGCTTCAAAAAAAACTGGTTCGCGAACTTTGTCCAGCTCCAGTAGGGCTATCGTGGCTGCTGCGAGCTTCTATCGATTTTTGTATGAAGCCTTCCATGCAGCATTTCCAGCGCTTCCTCCGACACTTTCGAGCAGTTCACCCTGCCCGGCCGGAATTTTTTGCTTGGAGCCTGGCTGCTATTTTAGGCTGCACTCTGATTATAACTTTTGGTTTCAATTTACGTCTGGGGATCATCGAAATTCTCATCGATTACTTGAAAAGGTTTTGCATTTGAGAGCCTATTCTCAATTTTTTTATAGCTAACACCGGAAAACAGGAACGATAAAACTAGAGAACTGCGCTTCGCTCCGTTCGCCTCATTTTCTCCTTTTTATTATTAAACGCGCTCTGTCTTCTTTATTTCCTTTTCTGGCGGTCTGTCTATCTTTGTATTGTATTTGTTTCTAGGTACGAGATGGCCCCTTCCCCCCGATCAGCTCCGCGAAATCTTCAACCTCTACGACGAGGAGCTCGATGGCAAGATCGATGGCACCCAGGTGATTTAGAATTTTTACTAGGATTCGATATTGCGGACATTTTCTACATTAAATTATCTTTATCGGGGGAGTCCTAATTTTTGCGCATCGTTTTTAGCCCTTCAGACTTTTTAAAAAGACGCAATTTTTCTGCGCTTTTTCTTTAAAAAAAAATCGCTAATGCTGCAAGTTTTGGAATTTATTTTTTTTAATTGGTTTTAATGATCGCAATTAACCCTTTTAGTTAGGATTCAAGTTAAACGTTGATAATTATGAGCCCACCGCTAGACCAAGATTTTTGGATGGTTTTTTGCAAGTTATTCGCTTCTATATTTGCCTTTTTTGTGAGGTTTACTGGGTCAGTCAACCGAAATATCGAAGACTCGAAAATAAAAAGATTTGTCATAAAGTCAAAATTCTCAGATCGGAGCCGTGGCCCGGGCAGCTGGCCTCAAGATCACCAACGCCCAGGTGAACAAGGCCGCCGGGGAGGAGTACAAGGTACGCAATTAACGACCGTAATAAATATTAATATTAATAACTTTCAACGAAATAATGCCTTAATCCTTTTGCCCTAAAGACTGCAGAAAACAATTGATCTATCAACTTTATTGCGGCGATTTTATCAACGATTTTCACTCGGGTTCGGGTCTGAAAATTGTTTTTAATTCTTGAAGTCCAGTAAGCCATCAGATAAACCCCCGATAAATCGATAATTTGCAGCGAGTGGGACAGAAGCGACTTCCCTTCGAAGAATTCCTGCCCATCTACGAGCAGCTGAAGGGAGAGAAGGCCCAGGGAGGACAGGCCGACTTTGTTGAGGGATTGAAGGTAGTTTTATTCGAAAGTTTCTGCATGATTTACGTGTTGGCATTACCCAGTTGTTTCTGATACCGTTTGACAAAAAGCAAAAAGTTCTGCGGCGATTGGGAGTCGAACCCCAGTAGGCCGTCTGGAATTTCAGCTGAAAACCATTTAGCCATCTTATTTCGTCTTTTATCAAGTGAAAAAGCTAGATTAATCGAAACGCGAAAAAGTACATTTCTCCTCGGAAAACTTCTAAATAGCTTTTTTAGTGTTTTAACCATAGAAAAAAACGTCAGTTTCTAGGCGATAAACAAGGTCGAGTTTCTAGAAAACATTTCTAAAATTGAACGAATCTTTTTAACCGTGTTTTCTAGGAAGAGAAGAATAAAATCCGATTTTTACGATAATTTTGCAATCAGCTACTTTGTAAAAGCGTCAATTTTCAGGTATACGACAAGGAGGAGTGCGGTAAGATCCTCGGCGCCGAGATCAGGCACGCCCTGATGGCCCTCGGAGAGCGGCTGTCCAAGGATGAGGTTCGTCTAATTATCCCACTCGCTCGATCCATATTTCTGACTCAAAATTCTTCCCATGTTTTTTAATCCCTGAAAGCGCGCATTAAGGCATTGAAACCAATCGATTCTCGCACTGACTACCCCCATTTACATAGCCCTTAATTTTTCCCCTTTTTCGTCTACCGCTCGAGCCCTTGGAGTTCTTAGGATCATTTTATGGCCCGTGGCTTCCCTGACCCGCAAGGTGTCGCTGTGTGTATGTTGTAGGTATGTCGGACTCTATCTCACTCTCTCTCTCTCTCACTCTCTCTCTCTCATCCCCACACCCATTCATTCTCTGTTGTAAGTCGAGCGGTTCCGCCCCCCCGTTGTTTAGAGGTGAGCTTCGTCTCGTCTCTCTTGTCGGGAGATGGGTTTTGGGCGGAATCCGCAGCGCGCCACCTGACGCCCCATATTCCAAGTAGCACACAACCAGGGCGGCCAGGCGGGGAAGAAGCCGGTGCCCATGGGCCCCAGGCAAAGATGACCCAGGAAAAAGTGGCGAAAAAGTAAAGGGGGGGGGTTGATGGATCCCTGCCACCGCAGCAGCCTGCCCCCCGAGGCTTCTCCGAGATCGGCCGCCATCGATTTGCTGAGACCCGGGAAACCTTGGGGGAACTGCTTTGGCTGGCGGGGGGAACGCTGGCCCTTTCCAATGGCATACGGTGCTTACAGCGAACCGAACATCCGGGGCTAAATGGAACCAGAAATTGGGCAAAACTAACCCGAAACAACCTTGGGACTTGTGCATTAAGGGGACGGGGAACAAATACGGTTTTCTGTCGCGAACTAAGCGTCCAATGAATCGCAGAAGCTTCTTATATAACGCAAGTGCCTATTTACGCGGGAGACTAGGCCAAAAAGCGAAACAGGGGCGTAAATAGGCGTCCTCCTCCATCGGTTCAAATAGGTTGATCCTGAAAATGCGCTTTAAATAAAAATAAACACGTTTGGTAGAAATCCTAGTATTTCTGAGTGATTTTTCTCGCATTTTTCAGATTCAAAAACCTAGCAGACCCAAAAAACTTTGAGAATTCCCTAAAGTTTGTCCATTGGATCGAAAAGGCTCCTAAAATCTTTCCCAATTCTCCATTTTGTCTCCAAAGCCCAGCCATTCAAAAATTTCTGTCAAGTACGATAGACAAGTTACGTAGGTAAAGGAGAAGTCATGAGTTATACGTCCATTCAATACGTAAAGAAGTCGTAGCCCCGAGGTCAGTAGGGAAAAACACCCATCACAAAGCTTACAATTATCCAAACAAACATTCTGATATCAAATCTAGCTTGGTATTGCAGTCCTAGACATCCACCACTTAAGCCAAACTTCATCTCACTTCTCGAAATTCCGTCTAAATTATCGCCTCGTAATCCCTACCTTTCCTAAAAAAACGCTGTACCATCTGCGCATATCAATCAACGAGAATTTTGTTAGGGAAAAACCTATAGCATTTACAAAGAATCAATTAAAACTCTCCTAATTCCAGGTTGATGAGATCATGAAGGGTGTCGAGGACTCAGAGGGCATGGTCGTTTATGACCAATTCGTCAAGAAGGTGGGTCTTATCGCTAACTGCTAAAATAACGTCGCACTTTCCAACTAGCGATTAAAAATCGACTTGATATTTTTCGATAAAATTTATCGTTGGTCACGACTGGCCTAAAAGTTACAAAGCTATGAATTAAGAGCTAGCATTAGGTCGAGTCAGCGTGAAAAATACGTACTTTTCGACTGGTATCTCGAGCTTAAAATATAGCGAAAGCTATAAAGAACTGTACGTAATCTTATAAAGGAACGGAATGGCAGCGAATCGGCTAAATACTTTTAAATTACATTTATCGCTAACGACGACTAGCCAAAATGAAATTTACAAAGCTATATGTTAAAAGCTAGCAGCCAGTAGAAAGCGTGAAAATACAAAGCTTTAGACTTATAGCTTCAGCCTAAAATTTAGAATACAGCCAATAAAAATCCCTTCAAAACAGAAAGCAAAAAAACGATCAACCTTGCAGGTTCTCGCCGGACCCTTCCCCGACGAATAATTTTGCTGTGAGGACGAGTGCAAACGGGGCACCCCCACAGGAACGCCATCTCTTTCTTCAAATTTGTGTGTCCTCCTCAGGGCGGTCGGGTCTCAGCGGTCCCTCGTTACCGGGTATTCCCCGCCAGGGCCCCTCCGCCCCAAGCCAGCTTTCTTTCATCTGTAACGACCCCCACACTAAAACAACACCAAATTTCTATTCACCGCCCACCCCCGCTAATTCCTTCCGTCTAGCGCCCCGGCCCTCTAGTCCACCCCCAACAACAACATGTACCAAGCACCCTTTTTCTATTGCTCTCTCTCGCTCTCTCACGCTCTCTATCATCTATCTATCACAGACCCCCCTTTTTGTGATGCGGACATTGCCACAACCAACCAGTGAGAAGATAGCGTCCAACACCCCCCAACCCCCTTTGGCTCCCCCAATTTAATCGATCAATAAGTTCTGTTCATCATGTTTCGATAAAGGGAAAAGGCTTTACAAAGAATCAGGGACTACCGACACTCGAGTCGCATTGTAATACTTTTAAAACTTGCAACACGCTTTAGAACAGCTCGTTGAAAACTATGCAGCTCTTTTTGAACTTTCAAGAATTGACCTCGAAGATAAGGTCAAATGATCAAAGCAAGGCTAAAAAAGTGCGAGCACGCTTTGAAAAATCCCTCAGCTTGTTCGAAATTTAGATTACTTCACAGCGGACATAGCCGACTAACAACTGCACCCATCCCACGACGTTTTCAACAAGCAAAAAACGCTAACAGAAACTAGAACGATTGCCTCGTTTACACTGTAGTCCTTTGAACTTTGGCAGGATAGGACAATTTATGAAGAGCAACTAACTATACACAGCAACCACCCAAAAAAAACAGCAAATAATTACTCAATCGTATCCTGCATGAGAACAGGGGCGAGTGCGGGTGGATTTGGGGTAGAGGGGGGTGATTAACGCAACATGGGAAACTAAAAAAATTACAGATGGCACATTTAGAAATTCACAGGGGGAGGGGGAGGGCAAATTAAAAATATGCATAGGCACTCACGGATGGTACAAAAAAAAGGGGGAATGGGGATGAGGGGGAACAACAAGCACTCACAACGATAGAAATTTGTAAAAGACTATATCAGGGTCCGCGTCGGCGAGCCCGGACTTCATATCAATCCGGCCTTGCGGGCCATCGAGTAGAATTCGGACCGCCGGTCGGCCAACAAGTTCTGCGGCGAGTCGAATTCGGTGATCCGTCCGTCGGCCAGCACGATGATTCTGAAAGACGTAAATAGAAAAAAAGACATTTTTATTTTATTAAATAATGGTTATTTTTTTTTAAAGAATAATGATAATCAGTGTCAGGGGCTGAAGCGTCAGATTTTATCCTAATTCCTGAACTAACTAGTAACGTTGTTCCCCTTGATAATGCCAGAATACGAGAAACCGAAACTCACTTGTCATAATCCATGATCGTGTTCAGGCGATGGGCAATGGTGAGTACGGTGCTTTGGGCAAACTCTTCGCGGATAGCCCTTTGGATGAGGGCGTCAGTGCCCTGGTCGATCGCCGCCGTCGCTTCATCCAACACCAGGACCTTCGTTTTGCGCAGCAGAGCTCGGGCGAGGCAAACGAGCTGACGTTGACCAACACTACAAATTCGCAAATCCAAAGAAATAAAGTATAAAAAAATACCTAATATTTTCACCGCCCTCCGTGATCACGTGTTCCAGTCGATCAGGTTGTGCAAGTGCGAATGGCTTGAGGTTGGCCATCTCGAGAGCGCGCCAGATGTCTTCGTCCTTGGCTTTGCCGAATGGATCCAGGTTGAACCTAAATAAAAATAAGGGAACGGAGAACAACAATACCGTAAAGTTCCAGAGAAAAGGACCGGATCCTGGGGGATAATTGTCAAATTGCGGCGAAGATCGTGCAGTCCAAGCGTGCTGATGTCGATTCCATCGATGATGATGCTGCCTTCAGCCGGTTCGATCATTCGAAACAGCGCCAACGTGATCGACGACTTCCCGGCGCCAGTTCTGCCAACGATTCCAATCTAAACAATTTTGATAGAAATCATCAAATCAAATACCTTTTCATGCGGACCGATCTCAGCGCTGAGCTGGCGGATGACAAGGTCTAGCCCGGGGCGATATCTGGTGCTGTAGTCGCGCAGCTCAATTTTTCCTTCCGATGGCCAATTTTCGAGCGAAGTGAGCGCGTCGCCAGCAGTGCCATCCTTCTTGTCGCTTGGAGGTTTGCGTTCCCAGTCGGCTTCCGAGGGCGTTTGCGAGTATTCCTTCACACGCTCCACTGACACGATGTTTGTCTCAAGCTTGCTGATCGAACGCACGGCAAAATTGAGCACGAAAGTGATCTAGAGAAAAATAGTTGAAGGCAAATTAGAAACGTACGTTCAAGGAATAGGAGACAGAGAGTCCGATCAGACCGCTGGAGACGCTTCCACGAGCCAGGGCGGCGAACAGCGCAGCAAAGAGGACGACCAAGTTGCCGATCAGCTCCAGACGCACAGACAGCCATCGATTCGCGATGTAGTTCAAATAACGGCACTGCACATGCGTGTCCACCTTCTGTTCAGTCGACTTGATGAAACGGTCACAGAGTCGATAGGCACGAATTGTAGCAGCGCCCTAAGCATGGAATACGAAGATAAGACAACTACAGACCTGGATAGTTTCCGACAGGTGGCTGTAGATCGGGGAGCGGGTGATGGATTCTAGACGCTTTAGTTGCCTTGACGTTGCCAGGTAGTAGCGCTAAAGACGTATTTTAAAAATGCGGCACAAGATTACCAAAATGAAAAAGTACATCAAGGCGAGCGGGATGATGCTGACGGCAAAAATTGGCGTGCTGTAGATGATCATGACGAGTGTCGACAGAACCTGAATAAAGTAAAAAAAAGGCACTAGCGAAAAGGATACCTGTAGAATACATTCGACGAAGAACTGGACATCGGATGGAAGCTGGATGTCGATGGTCTCGATGTCCTTGCCAACACGATTCAAAATCCGCCCAGATGGAGTGGTATCGAAGAACGACATCGGTGCATGGAAGATGGAGCGCACGAGCGGAGAATGCAGATTTTGAGAAGCAGCGATGCGCCCGAACAGGAAGGCCAGCATACCGAAGAAGAGCAATGCAACTAAAAACCATGAATTTAAAAATGGGTAAACCGCCTACTTTCAGTGAAGCCCAGCATTGCGTAGACGCCCAAGCGGACACTAACGGGTTCGACCTCCTCGGCGTTTTTCAGCGATGTGGCAGAGTTATCGTTTGACCAGTCGGTCAGCCACAAGTTGCGGCCCATCGACACCACGGTGCTCAGAGCCATTCCGATCACGAAGAGTCCGAAGAGAACGAGGCCCATCGACTTGAAGTACTCGGTGTAGATGTCCACTTTCACGTGGCCGACTTCGACGCGTTCAGCCTGGGTCAGTTGGCGGCTGTTGTCACCGCGGAACGAAACGTATCTAAAGCAGTGTTTTAAAAATCAAAATCAAATCACCTCGAGCCGCTGACGAAACGAACACGCTTGGTTGTGACGCGAGTGTTGATCATTGTCGAAACCGTGGAGATGAGGGAGGCGCCGAAATGCTAGGAAAATAAGATTAATGCGCGGTTAGAAAAATTACCCGCTCGATCGGCTGACTAGTGCTCAGCTCTTCGTGCTCAAAGATGTCTTCCTCATCCGTGTCATCGATGTAAATTCCAGCTTCATGCTCAGCAGCCTCTTGGCGTTCCCTGTTCTCTCGGCGTAGCTCCTCTTCAGCCTGGCATTGTTCCATAATTTGCTGCAGTGCTCCGCTGGCTGACAACTCGGCGTATGTTCCATCAGCGATGATCTTGCCGTCTTGCATGAGGACGATGAGATTGGCATAGGGTAGAACGCCCAACTCGTTGGTGACGAGCACGCGGGTCTTATTGCGCAGCATTCCATCAGGACCGATCACTGATTGGAACAACTGCTGGCCGACGTGGGCGTCGACGGCAGACATTGGGTCGTCGAGGAGGTAGACGTCGTGGTTTTGGTAGACGGCACGCGCAAGACTGATTCGAGCCTTCTGTCCGCCGGACAAGTTGATACCCTACAATCGAAAATACAGAAACTGAAAACAGCAATACCTTCTCTCCGATTTCGGTCTGGTCGCCAAGGGGCAACATCTGAAGATCCGGGAACAGCGCGCAAGCGTCAAGGACTCGATTGTAGAAGTACTCGTCCATCTTCTTTCCAAACATGATATTGCCGCGGAGTGTGTTGTTCTGCATCCACGGCTGTTGTGGAACGTAGGCGACCCGGCCGGATAAGCTCACGTAGCCCGTGATGCGCTCCATTTCCCCTAAAAAAAGTTTAAAATATCTACAAAAATGGTCATACCTAGTAGCGCCTGGCAAAGACTGGTCTTTCCGGACCCGACTCGACCAACGACACAGATGAGCTGTCCGCGGCGGGCTAGTAGATTCACGTCCTTGAGGGAAATCGTGGGCTCCGGCTTCTCCCATGCCAAATCGGCTTCGTTGACGAGGATCACATGATCATCTAAAGAAAAATCTAGGTAAGATTTAGGATCCTTACTGTCCCTCATCCGACGATCGACGTATTCATTCAGCTCGTCCGCGACAAGGAATTCCTTCAACCGACGGTTCGAAACCATCACCTAAACAAAGAATTTGATGACAAAACAAAAATTAAACCGACCTGCACCGTAACCGCGAACAAATCGGACACAGTACTCATTGGAGAGCGCAGCTGATTGAAGAGAGCCAGCGAAACGAAGGCGATAGATGGCGTCAGCACGTTTTTAGGGTCGATGAAGATGAACGTGGCAAACGTCGAGAGAGCCACCTGCAAAGAAGAAATTCAATAGTTTTTCGACGGTTACCAAGAATGGGGCAGCCAGGTTGAGCATGTCAGAGAAGGTTTGCAGGAAAGCCGCCTTTCGGATCAACGCCAGCTCCTTTTGGCGCAGCTTCTCGATAACGTTCTCCATCGGGGGCTCCCATCCATATAGCTTGATGATCTAAAAACCAGTACAAGATTTCACAAAAATTTTACCTTTATGCCGTTGAGAACCTCGTTGACCATCTTCGTGCGCTCGTCCTTGTATCGCATCTGCTGCACATGCCAACGACGCATCACGATGGTGATCAAGAAGTTGACAGGAATCAGAAGTACCATCACCGCAACACCGGCCAGCACCGAGACGCCGATCTGGCCCCAGAGAAGGTACAGCGAGAGGCCGATCTGGAAAAGATTCAAAATTTGACCAATAGTTTAGTTATACCTGCATAGGGGTGCTCCAGTATTGAAAGGTTTGCGGCGTGATTTTTTGGAAACGGTCCACGTCGATGGCCATCAGGTTGACAATCTCGCCCACGGTCTTGTTGCGGCGAGCCGAATTCGAGAGACGCAAGGTCTAAAGAATAATATAAAGCAAATTCCAACAATATACCTTTTTATAAACAGCCGACGTTAACACAGACTGCACACGTGTCCCTACGCGGTACATTATGTAGTAGTACTGATTGAGCAGCAGCGAGGATAGTTCCGAAGAAGTAAACATGACCAGTGCGTAGAAAACGCCAAGCCACATTGGCTTCGAAGGGTCCTCGGTGAACTTGATCAGCGACGCCAGCACGACGGGGCAGACGAAAGTCAGCAGGTCGGATACACACTTGATCAACATGGCCACAGTGATGTCGACTCGAAACAGCTTGACGATTTGGTAGATGATCGAGGGCGGGGCTTGCGTGTAAGTGGAATCCGGGTTCTTCGGGCAATGATCATATTTGTAGTCTAAAGAAAATTGAGAACCATATCAAAATCACTACCGGCCATGGCTTGGTCCCATTGTGTATTCCAGCGGGCCACGAGAGGCGCCGATTGATCATTCGGGTTGAGGCTGTATAGGTCGTGCAGTTCGAGCGGTTTGGAGAAGCCACGCGAGCTGATCCCATTGAACCACCACATGAACTGCCGGTTGAGGTAGGAAGAGTAGCGTTCGGGCGATGGATTCTCAACAAAATAAATATATGGAAGAACCGTTTCCAAAAACCTCTTCGAGCACGTGTTCCGTGGCCCCCTCTTCGTCATCGTGTAGCTTCTCATAAGGTGCCGGTCGATCGGCGAACGCAAAGAGCACCGTCTGCATGGCGACAATGGCGTACCAAATGAAGTAGAGGTAGAAGTGCGCAAACTCGTAAGGGTTTTTCTTTTCCTAAAGCGAGTTGCGGAAATAGGGGAACATATACCTCATAGCTGATCCAATAGCACAGTTCGGGGAGACCGCAGACGGCAAAGAGCAGCCAGGAGATGAAGATGCCGCCGGAAGTGACTTTGCCGTACCCTTGGCAGGCCCAGATCAACAGAGGCATGATAGACTGGAAAAGAAACATGGGATAGAAAGAAAAGCGGACAGTTACCATCGATATAAGCAGCAATGCGGAATGGAGAACATCAACCCAGGGACCGGCTCCAATGAATACTTGATAGTGGGAAAGCAGCGTAAGCAGAAACGTGTCGATGAAACAAAGGATGGTGAATACCTAAAAAAAGAAATAGAATATGGAGACCAAATAACTACCATTTTCAAGCACAACAGTGGAGACCAGGGTAGCGCGGGCCCTCGCTTGTAATAGGCTTGGGCGGCGACGATTGGCGCGGCGAGGAAAACGAACGCGCATGGCGCCCATGTCAGCACAGTGTGCATGAAGCATCGTGAAAAGGTGGGTACCGAGGCAGCGTTGAGTTGCTGTTCATCCTAAAATACACAAATACAAAAATGATGGAAGACATAGAAACGAAACCTAGCAAAAGCTAAAGGCGATCAGATCTTTGCGAAAAAAGCGTGCGCTTACCCAAAACGTCTCGCCGCAGAAGGCATCTAGACGCGACGGTTGCGGCGCCCCAAAAGAGTCTTGATCCATCAAAGGATGGCCCGGGGTCTGTGACTGCCGTTTATAGCCCTGGAAATCACAAAAATATTTTTTATTCAAAAACTGCAAATTTTACAAAGAAAGTCTTTGGAAAATTTGATAAAAAAAGAAATCAAACAGAGAAAGGCTGAAAAGTCGAAAATTGCGAAACGAGCGTTCAGAGCTCACTACCGTAGGACAGGGCATCGAATAGAATGCAGGGCAGCAGAAGGTAGCGTACTGTGTACAAATCGTTTCATTTTCTTATTTTCATTTTAACTTTAAAATTAAAGGGTAATTCTATAATCAAAATTTAGTATAAGGTTTTGCAGTGGGGGTTGGATTTTAAATAAAATACATTTTTTTCACGAAATCGGGGGCAATAAGTTGGCGAAAATCCACGGTAACTTAATTGATACTAGGGAATTAGAAAGTTTACCATATTTTTCTACTTGCCCTGAATTGTTTTTGCCATTTTTCATCCCTTTTTCCGTTTTTTTTTTGTAATGGGCTGTTACCGGGGGCGGGAGTTTTTAGCGGGCCCTGCTTTTTGTTCTTCCCCCGTTTACCTGTTTTTCTCATAATCTGTTTATAGTGTTTTATACAGTTATAAATAAAAAATTAAAGCTATTGATTTTAGGGGCATCTTTTTGTGAGGGCTAGGCTTAGCTTAGGCTTAGCTTTAACTTCGCCTAGGCTTGTCTTAGACCTAGCATAGGCTTAGGTTTGGTTTTAGCGTAGGTTGGCCTTGGTCTTGTCTTAGCTTAGGCTTAGTCTAGGCCTATCTTCGACTTAACCTAAGCCTAGCCAAGCGTGGGCTTGAGCCTAGGCTTGGCTTAGGTTAGGCTTAGCCTAGGCTTGGCTTGGTTAGCTTAAGCTTGGAGCAGCAACTTACAGCTGAACCCCCAAAAAAGATGCCCCCCCCCCCAACATTAATATCTAAAATCTCTCTAAATCTCTAAATCTCTAAATCTCCAAAATATCTAAAAATTTTATTAGGTTTTTACATATAAAAAATATTCCAGGTCTACATTTCAGCTTTGGCCCCTCGTATTATTTCTGAAAATTTTGGGCTCCGTATAATGGCCACTTCACTTTTGATTTTTTTTGCGGGTTGTGCGTGGGAAGATCCTTTTTTGCGCGTGCGATATGATCAATTTCCCGGCTCGTATCCTTTTCCGACTCTCTGCCATCGTCCGTTCTGCCCGGGTCGACACTCGTTCCCGCGTGTGTGATATCCATTTTTGAGGGCATCCGTGTTGAAATGGGTGGTTTTCACGCGCTGGCTGTATTTTTGGCGGTGTTGCACCTTGTAGAAGGCGGACGAGACATCAGGTAACGGTTGCAAGTGGTGGTTCTAGAATCACAGAAACAAGTTTTCTGACTTTCGAGCGTCCTTTTTCTGGCCCAGCTATTGCAGTTTTGCAATCCTATGTTATATTTAAGAGTTTTTTTCGGAAACCCAGAAATTTTGCTAATAAGCTTTAGAAAATCCAGACACGATAATAAATCCCATTTTCAGCACAGCGGCGATCGGACCATGCCGTCTTTTGATCAACGGCATGAATTGCACGCCGAAAGGTACGTTTTTTTTCATTGTATGGAAGCGGACTACCCCAATTCCGAATTCATCCAAAATTATGCTTTATTTAGGCTATTTTGAGACGGTTCAGTGCGATAGCAAGGCCTGTTTCTGCGTGCAGCCCAATAACGGGGAAATTGCGATCGAGACACGGACGGAGAGCCCGCGAGTAGGGCCCAGGTGCTCAGGTAAAAAAAACGGATATAATTTGATACCTAAAAAATCTTGACAACTGGCTGTGTTTCCAGAATGTTACAATCGTCTGGCAGAGCTCTACAAAGATGGACAACCACCAGTGGACTCGTATCTGCCGTTGTGTGACAATAAGAAAGGTGGGTGTTTTTTTTTATAGGGGGGCCCTTTTTTTTTTTAAAAAAAATATTTTTTTTGTTTTTTTTTGGGTTTTTTTTGGGGGGGGGGGTGTGGGGGTGGGAAAAGGATTTTAAAAAAAAAAATTATTTTTTTTTTTTTTTTTGGGGGGGGGGGGGGGGGGGGGGGGGGGGGGGGGGGGGGGGGCGGGGGGATCATGGGATTTTTTTTTTTTTTTTTTGGTTTGGGTTTGGGGGGGGAAATTTTTGAATTTGGATTTTTTTTGGGGGGTTTAATTTTTGGTTTTTTTTTTATTGTTTTGGGTTTTTTTTTTTGGGGGGGGGGGTGGGTGTCGGGGGGGTTTTTGGGGGGGTTTTTTTTGGGTGGGGGGGGGTGGGGGGGGGTTGGGTTTTGTTTTGGGGTTGGGGGGGGGGGGTTTTTTGAATTTTTTTTTTTTTTTTGTTTTTTTTATGTGGGGGGAAGGGGGGGGGGGGGGGTTTTTTTGGGGGCGGGGGGGGGGGCGGGGGGTTTCTTTTGGAGACTGATTTATTAAAAATTTTTTTTTTTTATTTTTTTTTTTTTTTTTTTTGTGGGGGTTTTTTTTGGGCCGGGGAAAAAACAGAAAAAAAACAAACAAAGCACAAAATAATTTTTTTAAAATTAAATTCCCCCCCTTGATTTTCGACTCGTGGGAAAAATGTGTCTCCCCCGGATAAGGCATAAGATCCATTTACGGCTTTCCACAATTCAGGACTATTCCAACGGACACAATGCACAGCCGATCGCACTGTATGCTTTTGCGTGGATCCTGATACCGGAAAAGAGGTAAACCCTTAAAGGGATACCGACGGCATAGTCAATCGATTACGCGCTGGAAAGAAAATGTCTCTGCGCCTCTCCCCCGCTCTGCCCTTTGGCTACTTGCCAATTTGTTGATGGGGGGGGGATCGACACATGCCGTCCGCAGCCCTTAAATTCAGCGTTTTTTAGGTAAACGTTATGCTTTTTAGGTCCCAGGCTCCAAAAAGAAGGTATCGGAAGGCATGGCAAAGTGTGACGACTCCAACTACGGTGGGGTCCAAAGGCTGCCAGATAGTTAATCGGGGGTTTAGGAAACGGCAACCTACTTCCGGCCGTATCTAGGGGAATTGTAGGTTCCTCGTATTTTACAAAATATTTGGAATATTTAGGATCTAATCCCCATCGCAAATGCTGCGTGCAAACTGCCGATGGACCGGGGCAGCCGTTGCTCCGGCCGATATCCGGTTGTCGAGGTGGGAAATAAGGAGTAATCGTAGTTTATAGTACCGTCGTAAAATTTCAGTTTTTAGGCTAGAAAGATGTATACCGATGAGTTCGTGTTTTGTGAGTTGATAAAGTCAACGACTAAAAAGCATCACTAAAAACACGCGAAATCATCGAAAATCGGCTCATTTAGCAAAGTTTCCGGTAGGCAGAAAAAAAAATAGTTTTTAGGACGCTGCCGTAGGAACGGCTTTAAATCCTTATTCAAAACCCATTTTAGTGGCATTTTGACCCGGAAACGTTCACCTGTCTGGCCTTTGAGTATCTCGGCTGCCAGGGCAATGAGAACCGTTTTGGGTCGTCGACCGAGTGCCGTTCCGCCTGCCTATTCGGTACGCGCTTTTAAGAATCAGGATTTTTATTCCAGTTGTTTTTGCTACAAAAAGCTGAAAATTCTTTCAGCTGACACTATGGGCTGCGCCGGTATGAATCCGGCAGCCAGGGGTCCACTCGGAAAACCGCTCGTCTGCGGAAAGGTAGCCTTACGCAAAAAATTGTCGGACACAGCGTCCGGCAAAAACCGAAAAAGAAAATAATTTTCAGCCGTTCGTTCCGCATCTGCCGGAATTGCTCTCTCGTGTCCTGCCGCCTCTTCCGGAAGCCATTCCATGTCCGCCGGGATATCGTTGCGTTATCGGATCATCCCACGGCTTCTGCTGCCCACAGGATAAACAAGGTCTGGTTACGAACCGGAAATACCGATATTCCAAAATGCCGACAATCGAGCCATATCCGTCTGAAACCACTATTGACACCGAAGAGACCGATTCTAAAAAAATACCGATTAAGACAAGCCGATTGATCAAAATACCGAAGGTGCAAAATCACGATTTTTGCACTGCCGGCATTTAGACATGACGGGGGTCTCTGCGAGATCGGCATTCGGCATTTCAGTATCTTGAAATTTCGGCACCTAGGGCCCAAAATCCAATCTTAATGCCGGGGAACCTTAGTCACTTTTCCGGCCAGATAATGCTTGGATTAAATTAGTTTCGTTGATATAATAACAGATCCTAAAAATCCACGAAAATCTTGCAGATCTCTACGATCGATCGATGCAGCCACGGTGCCACCGGTATGGCCGCGAGCCGGCGAAAAGCGACGCTGTCCAAGTGCTTTTAGGTATAAAGCAACGATTGCAAAGGGTCAAAACTCTAAATAGTAGCTAAAAATTCATTCCCTGATTACAGGCAAAAACTGCTCGTCAAATTTCTGCCCATCGTGGGCACAATGTGAGCAGAACGATCTCTTCGCTTATTGCTGCTGAACACAGCGACCACTCCGAACAGAGACCCCAGCTTTAATTTTAACTTGTTCTTCTGCGAGAAATAAATGGCTTTACAAAAATAGTTGGATTTGCCCATCCGCGGGTTACAACAACATTTTCGAATAGGTGAAAAACTGGGGTTTACCGAGCAGGAAATCCGGCTTCGTGCCGTAAGCGTGACCGTGACCAATGCCACTGTTATGGTCTTTTTCCCTACAGAGAAATATAGAACAGTCGAAAAAATTTGTATAAAAACCCGCCCAACGCTCCGAAACCATACACCTTACGCTTGGGGGTGGCCTGACCTCTTCCATTCGGGACCCACAGCAGAGGGCGGATAAGGTGTTTGCAATTTAGCCGTTCACAACGCAATCATTCTTTTCGGCGACCCTTTCGATTTCTTCCTCTCTTCGTGCATTGCCATATTTTCACGTCATGTTTTTCATTTTTCTAACCGGTTTTCGTTATTTCACTCCCCCAGCTGGTCCACAATTCTTTTTTTCAGAGCATAATGCGTGAAGTCATTTCTATCCACATCGGTCAAGCCGGAGTCCAGATCGGCAACGCCGCCTGGGAGCTCTACTGCCTCGAGCATGGTATCCAGGTGTGATTTTGTTGTTTTTTTCTGGCCCTTTGCCTTCGAGTCTTTTAAATGGAAGACGATGAATTGAGCTGTGTACTAATATTTTATCTTTAGCCGGACGGCAAGCGAATGTCCGAGGAGAAGCGGGAGGACTCGTTCACCACCTTCTTCAGCGAGACCGGGAAATGGCCGCTACGTCCCGCGGGCTTTGATGGTCGACCTGGAGCCGACGGTGGTTGACGAGATCCGAAACGGACACTACAAGCAACTCTTCCACCCGGAGCAGATGATCACCGGCAATGAAGATGCTGCCAACAACTACGCTCGCGGACACTACACCGTTGGAAAAGAAGTGGTCGACTCCGTTGTGGATCGTGTCCGTCGTCTCGCTGAGAACTGCCGCGGATTCCAAGGCTTCCTATTCTTCCACTCGTTTGGCGGCGGAACCGGCTCGGGATTCACCTCGCTGCTGATGGAGCGCCTTTCAACCGAATACGGCAAGAAGAGCAAGCTCGAGTTTTCGGTCTACCCGGCTCCGCAAGTCTCGACTTCCGTCGTTGAGCCGTACAACAGCATACTCACTACACACTCGACGCTCGAGCACTCGGATTGCGCCTTCATGGTCGACAATGAGGCCATCTACGACATTTGCCGACGCAGCCTGGACGTGGAGCGGCCCAGTTACACCAACTTGAACAGGATCATCGCACAGGTATTTGAGTACTGTCGTCTATATCCTTCCGTTTAGGTCGTCTCCTCAATCACGGCCTCGCTGCGCTTTGACGGAGCCCTCAACGTCGACCTGAACGAATTCCAGACGAATCTGGTGCCATATCCACGCATCCATTTCCCGTTGGCCAGCTACTCGCCACTGATCTCTGCAGAGAAGGTAGCGTCCTGTTTTTTTTACGAGACTATTTGAATCTTAGGCCTATCACGAGGCCAGCTCTGTCAACGACATCACTTCCGCCTGCTTCGAGACCGGAAATCAGATGGTGAAGTGCGACCCCGCAACGGCAAATACATGGCTGTCTGCCTGCTCTACCGTGGCGATGTCGTGCCAAAAGACGTCAATGCAGCCATCACGGCGATCAAGGCCAAGCGGTCGGTCCAATTCGTCGACTGGTGCCCAACTGGTTTCAAGGTAGTTTAATTGAAGTAGCATTTACGATCTCTGATAGGTTGGCATCAACTACCAGCCTCCAACGGTCGTGCCGGGCGGCGACATGGCCAAGGCTCACCGCGCCGTCTGCATGCTTTCCAACACCACAGCCATCGCCGAAGCATGGTGCCGTCTCGACCAGAAGTTCGACCTCATGTATGCCAAGCGCGCCTTCGTCCATTGGTAATATTTTTTCGGTCTTTCCAACTATCTTTCTTTTTTCAGGTACGTCGGCGAAGGAATGGAAGAGGGCGAGTTCACCGAGGCCCGCGAAGACATGGCCGCTCTGGAGAAGGACTACGAGGAGGTCGGCCTCGACGGCGCTGATGGAGATGATGGAGCGGCCGAATATTAAGCCATTTTTTATGCTAGATTTTACTTGTACGATCCACAATTTGTGATCTCCTGTGTTACTTTGTGTGCTAAAATAAATGCCTGGATCCGACAAACTTCGCACAACGCAGATCACGGCTTTTTCCAAGAGATTTTTGGTTAGCAATGTCCGATGGGCGCGATTTGGAATTGCTGCAATGGCGAGTCTTGCTTTAGATAAAAGTGCAGGTTTAGATGGTGTTCGCCTTCCTTTGTAGTATCGGCTCGATCGTTATCGGTACTCTACTCCCCTGTTATTACGCATTCCGGGCTTCGAAAAAGCGTGATGCTGTCACCCAGGTGCGAAGCTGTCGTTTTCTGACGCTGTTTAGACTTTCTACCGCAAATACTGGACGGTATATGCCTGTTATACGTCTTTGGAAACTGTGGCCGACACTTTCTATCTTCTGCATCTTGTGCCCTGGTATGAGGTCGGTGCGTTTTGTCGTCTTTTTAATAGCTTTAGATGTGGAAATTCGGCTTCTTCGCCTGGACAGCAACGGGTGGTGCTCCTTTCATCTACGATCGGGTGAGTGGTTGATTCATCTGTTTGTAACGAAATTTAGGTAATATATCCGTTCCTGACGAAACACGAGAAATCTATCGAATATGTGATGAGCCAGACTGGAATGTTGGCTTTCCAGCTTGCAAAGCGCACCGCTCAGCGTAAGTATCATTAGACTTTTGTGAGGAACGTGGCTGTTATCCAGATGTTGCCGTTGCCGTGGTCAGCTCTATGTCTAACATCTCGACAGCAGTCGTCTCAAGCGCATCCGGCATCAACATTGGAGAGACTGTCGGTCGTCATTTGACACACAGCCAGCCTGCCCAAGCTGCAAGCTCGAATTTTTCGATGTCTCGTCTGTTCCGCTTCTCTGCCACAGCGGTAACTTTTACCCGACAATATCTATTCGGCTGTTTTCAGTCGAGCGGCGTCACAAATCGCTCCGTTTTCATCGAAGAAATGGACGATGATTTCGACGACGATGATCTACTTCCTCAGAGCTACGCTAGCACGTCGCGCAATAGAGTTCCCGACTGTAAGCTGTTTTTTTCTCGCAATGACTTTGTTTTTCCAGTGGACACGCTGCTGCGGGCTGAGCGCGAGGTCCAGGTCAAACAAGAGGTTGTGGATGACTTTGAAGATTCGACCGTCGTTTTCATGGCGTCAGCTGCGGTACCCAATGTTTTGGCCGCGCCGTCGGATTCTGGAGGTGCTTTTGAGTTTTCGATTTGTACCACAACGTAGACGAGGCAGACTGGGCGGTGCCGCTTACCCGCCGCGTACTGAGACCTCGTCTTTCGGTAACTTTTTTTTTGGCTTCATGTGTTTGCTTCCGGTCCGAGTTGACGATTATAATACTGCTTTTCAGCCCCAACCTTTGCCAGTCATCGTACCGGCCGTCGCCCCGCGCCGCCGAGGACGTCCGCGCAAAAATGCCAACTGAACAGAATCTCATCTCGCTTGCTATGCTGTTCATATTGGCTTCCCGCGTATTGATACGACTTATTGCAACTATTGATTTTGTTAGTCGTTTGGATATTGTTGATTCTGTCGTTCATACTGATTCGCACCTTTGTGATTGTCAATTCGTCCATAAATGCATCTACTTGTTTTAGCGGGCATTTCCATTAAATAGCAGCCCACAGTTCGCGGCCAGGAGAGTGTTGAATGACGCGCTTTCGGCAGCGGAGCTCCCTGAAGTAACGCTGTTGTGACAAAATTGGTGTTACAGGGAAACTAGCGGGTGGGTGACAGAAGCCTGAAGGCAGAAGCCCGATAGTACCAAAAGCCCGCAGGCAAAAGCCCGAAGGCAGATGCCCGAAGGCAAAAGCCCGAACGGTCAAAAGCCCGCACGGACAAATGCCCGCACGGACAAATGCCCGAATGGACAAAAGCCCGCACGGACAAATGCCCGAACGGTCAAAAGCCCGCCATACATTTCCGTGCGCCACAAACAACCATTTTTTTCTCAGCGATGGAAAATCTCTCCAGGGTTCGTATGTCATTTTAGTCGTTCCTGCCGCACTCGATAGTCAATTCCGTACCAAAAAGTCATCATCTTCTGCTGTTTTCCAGTCTAATTATTTCAAAAGCTAGAGATTGAGCAAGAACATTTTATAGACAAATCAACAACTTATTGGAATAACGAAAGTATTGAAGTGTGGGCGAGAAAAGCTCGTCAGACCTTACCAATCGTCGGTTGCGCTCCGGTGCAAGCCACCCATTTTCATGAAAATTCTTTGGCTTTTTGCTCCTAAGGTATTACAGAACGTTACTGTATCGTAAAATCAAATAAAACTCGCGAAAATGCCCCAGGAAATAGCAAAAAAACGGCCAGAATCTGTTTTAACAAACTGACCCCAAAAACAATCGCAATTTGGCTCCATAATCAGCTTTCAGGGTTGCTATGATCAAGCTCAACTCCTGAAATGCATGAAAGATTTAAGGTGCCAGTTGAGGGAACGATCAATGAAAGGTAAAAATAAAATTGTTGCTCAATCTCTAGCTTTTTGAAATAGTTACACTTCAAAAAAAAAGTTTGGTGATATTTTTTTGTGGCGGACGGAAATGTATGGCGGGCTTTTGACCGTTCGGGCATTTGTCCGTGCGGGCTTTTGTCCATTCGGGCATTTGTCCGTGCGGGCTTTTGACCGTTCGGGCTTTTGCCTTCGGGCATCTGCCTTCGGGCTTTTGCCTGCGGGCTTTTGGTACTATCGGGCTTCTGCCTTCGGGCTTCTGGCACCCACCCAAACTAGCGTGTATTTAATGCCTAAACTGTTTATTCCAGATAACAGAAACCAGTAATGCAAACGAGCATTGTAAGACTAAATAAAGGAATAGATAACAACAGATTTTTTGAGAGGATGAAACAGAACATAACAGAGCGTTGAACAAATGAAAGCACACGAGTAGGCGAGAAAATTGCTCAACAAATCTGATTCGTCGTCGAGTCGATGAAGTGGTGCTTGTCCCCCATATTTATCGACCGCTCACAGGCATGATGTACTGCAGCAGATACTAAAACAGATTTTGGCTTCCATAGCAAAATGCCACGCACCTCGTCACCTTGCTGGAATAGACGAATGGCGGGGTGTCCGTCCTGGTGGCGCACGAGTGCGAAGACCGACGGCCAATCCGCGGCGCCAAGTTCGGACGGATGAACGCCACAGCAGCCGCGGGGCAGCGTCGTTGTCAGATGGTGAAGCAAATCGCGCAACTAAAACCAGAATCATAAGGAATGCGGAAAATGATGGATATGAGACTAGAGCTCAGCAGCGTAAAAAACCAGTAGAAACGGGGTCATGGTTCGTTAGCGGGGGAGGCGGAAGAAGTTACTACTTATATGCAGGTCAGTCGCCATAGCAATAGAAAGTAAACATTTTCATAGTGTTTTAGTAGTATCCGATCACTCAAAAGTCATAAAACGTTAGTAAAAATTGAAAATTTTTTACATTATTAAACAAACGCATTCCTCGAACACTGTACGAATTTATTATAAAAAGTGACATTTTCGAAAGGCTATTACAAAATTACCTATCTTCACGACCTGCAAAAACAACAAAAGTTCGACTTTCCCCACCCGCTAACGAAACAGCACCAAATACGACTTACCGCCAAGTATTGCCCCGCATTTCCGGCTTCAAACACCGCTTCGTAGATCTTGGCGATGAAGTGGTCCCTGTGCGGCAAAACCACGTGCTGCGATGCGGGCACTGGCTGGCTGGCCGGCTGGCTAAAATAAGGTTTTACAAGTCAAAAACCGGCAAGTGATGAAGCTACAATTGAAAATAGTGGATACCTCATGTAAACTGGCGCTGGCGGGTGCATCATATGCATAGCCGGATGACCGTAATGGGGGAATGCCGGAGGATATGGAGACTAAAATCAAAAATGAATGACAACGCAACGCCAACCGCTGGCATCCCATAATAGTTGGTCGGCGGATAGGGCTGCTGGCCCGGGAGGTAGGCATAACTAAAAGAAACGGTTGCAGGCGGTTGAAATGAGGCAGAAATGTGGGTACTGGTTTGTGATCAGGGGGTGGGTGTCGCGGAGGTCGCTAAATTTTTCCTGTTCCCACCTTCAGCGCCTAATAATAATGAATTATAAAACATTTCAATGGTAACAGATGCCCTCTTTAGATCAAAAAACAGGTCAAAAAAAATTACTAAAAGTTTTAGAAAGAGGCATCTCGGCGAATAAAGGTCGAAATTTTCGATTAGCTCAAAAACGCTATAAAATGGTTTAAGTTTTATTACGGCGGGGGTTCCTCAGACGAGAGACCCCCCGCCGATCACAAAAAGAAACAAAATGTGTTTCAAACGATTGCGTAGCTCATACCTCGGACTGCCAGCAATTCCATGTGGTGCACCAAACTGACCGTCCCAGGATGGCGGAATTTGCGGCGGGTACTAAAGTTGAATTTTGAGAATACCCATCAATAACTTTACCTGGAGGCCCATGGTTGGCGTGATGGGGCGTGACGGCGGGATGTTAGCTTGAACGGGGATCTGCGGCCGCGGAATTGCCTAAAACAAAAAATCATAGACATCGCGGCCGTGGAGCTCAAGATCAAAATCTAGGAAAAAAATCCCACCTGAGCTTGTGGAAGTGTTGGTGGGGGGCCGCGCCAGCGATCCGGAGCTGGCGGCAAACCGGGCTGTCCCTGATTGGCTGCAATCTGAAAAATTCCTTCAAAAAAAAGAGTGTCGTAATTTTACCGGATGATATCCCGCCACTTGTCCACCGAAGGGTTGTTGGTCGTACTGGGGTGCCATCGGTAGATGTTCCTGCGTCGCGCCGGGATGCTGACGATGCTAAAAATGTCACCAATATTGTAGTCGGCCCGAGAAAGAGGTCACCATATGGAGAGTAGAATGCGCGGCCGCTGCCGGCACCGCAGGTTGATCATCGGCCCATGCGTCCGCAACCGGCTCTTGCTGTTTCTGTCGCGGCTCACCACGGTCGGGTATTTTACTAAAAAACACGTCAATAACAAATACAAACATACTCGTCCCAGTAGCTTGTAGGGAAGTTCCGGTGTGGCGATTTCTAAAAAGAAAGTGTGTTTTTACATCTAGTTCAGCTTCAGAAACAGGTGAGTCTTGTCGATTTTTCATGAAACACCTTTGAAAATGAACAGTCCGCAATTTTTCGGCAAGATGACAATAAATTACCGAAAATTAGTTACGATAAATTAGCACCATTATAAAAATTCGAAATATTCTGCGTCGCGAAGCCGAACTAACGCCCTTGCAACATCACAAAAAAATTTTTACCGCTGGGCTGCGATGACTTTTTTCCTCGTGTAGGTTCTTCTTTTCCTGCTCGCGGTGCTCCTTCTTCTCCCGTTTCGGCAACTTGTCCTTTGCTCCCGGCGCCTCGTCTTCTGTATAGCACCCATCTTCTTCCATCGAGTCGGAAATCGATGGCTCCACCGGAAGCTGCGCACGAGCTGGCGAGCGGCCAACGGGAGCTGACGTTTCCGGGCGTTGGTGAGTTTTCGGGGCTGCCGGTGGCTCAGTGTAGGGGATACGCTGAGGTGGTTTGAACGGTTGCGTCAGCGTGCCTACAAAAATTAATTGATTGTTGTCAGTTGCGACCTAAAATAACTGCGTTTTAAGTAATATGGAGTTTTTGCGAGGTAGCATACCTTGTTTCATAGAGCTAGAATTTCTGGACCAGGCCCAAAGGAGGATCAAATATTATCAGATAGATAAGCAGTCTGCGCGAAAAATTCTACCAAAACGAGCCGAACTGCCCAAACACGCCCAAAGCGCAAACTTCCTCCAAGAATTAACTGTTCAGCGATTTTTGCAAAATGATACTTGCTCAGGATTTCTAGCTCTTGAATCAGATTCAGCACATCGCAAAACCACGAATTTTACGTAAGTAGAAGTAAGTACGTCACCTCTAGCAACCGCAAGAGCGCTTTCGTCGAGCTTTACCACGGGCGCCGGTGGCTTCGGATTCTGAGCGATGGTCTGGAACGGGTTGTTAGATCTAAATAAAAACCACTACCATCTTTTTTTAAATTCTTTGTGGGATCGTAGGGTCGACGTACAGGCGGACCCATGAATGATCCTTCGGCCTTCTTCACCTCTTCATCGATTTCCTCGGGGGTCATTTCTAGAGCTCGGTTTGAGAATGTGAATGAAAGCGGCATACTTTGCACTCCAGGTTTAATGGCGATATAAAATATGCCGTCCTTCGGTCCCTCCGTGTATTCGAATCTTGACGCGAAGAAGGCGACGGAGCTGTCTTGGAAGATTTTTTTGAATGATGAACGACCAAAACGATCCGAAAGGTACTAAAAGAAGAATTAGTCTTGTTTTAAATTCTGAGGAGTCGGAGACCAACAAACAAAACTCACCTTTGCATTAAGTACCACATCAATTGATAGGTATGCTTTGGCCAGGTCGGAGTAAATGACCCGAGACGTCGGCGGCTTGCTCTGGCTTGTGTTGATTTGTTGTAGGATGTCGTAGAGTACATTGTAATTCTGGGAAAAACATCGTTATCATAATTTAGCGATTGGCAACCTGGAAGTAGCGTCTCAAACTTTGCGGCTGGCGGTTTTCCTTGCGTTTCCTTGCCACGCCGTCTTTGATCCTAAAAAAAGAAATATCAACAGCCATTAGAAAAGATTTACTTGTGAGCGTGGAAGCGGCTCATCTCCTCCAGATCGGCGAAAAGGCCATTTTCGTCATTCGGGAGCGATTTGAGGCGAAAGCGGTCTCCACTGAAAAACTGTTTTGGACTATAGTATCAAAAACAGATACTAACAATCGTCATGATAACGTCATAAAAACATGATCCTGCCGGCCATGCATTCAAAAACTCACATTTTCATGATGTGTGCACCGAAATACGTATCGAGATAATGCACGAGGGAGTGGCATTCAGGGAAGAGAGCCCGAATCACATCCTCGCTGATTGACGTTTTGCACAATGCCGAAGCGGTTCCCAAAAATTCTGCGGCCGTCACCCCTTCCTCCTCCTCGTGCATGGCTGCCAGAAACGGCAGCACCATCGTTCGTACGAAATCCTAAAGCCACAAAATTATATACTATAGTAGACAGGTATAGTGGTCAGTTTTCTGGAAACCTTCCCTAGGAAGCACTAATCTATTTTTTTGCACCCTATCACCTGAACTGACACTGAATTTAGTAAATCTAGAGATATCAGACGTAGCTCAATTGTAAAAAGTTGCCCAAAAATCGTAAGAATATAGAAATTACCGCATGGGCTTCGCCGTTTGTCGGGAGCTTCAGGGACTCCGGATCGACCCCGAGCTCTTTGAAGCCATAATCATCGTCAACCACTTCAAATTGCCGGACGTTCATTGAGGCTGGGTCCTGAAACAGAAACCTAGAGAAAAAAACGGACAGGCAGCTTCGTGAATTTGGAATACCCATGACAGAACTTCTGAACGATAATTTTTTTGCTGGCGTTTAATTTTCGAGAATGAATCGAAAACTGAGATTAAGAAATTAGCCGAAGACTTGAATGCATCAATCGATCAGAATAATTATTAGAAAGTTTATAAACGCTTAGACAAATTAAAAATATGAAGTGGAACCAATTGTTCCGACCGGCTCCAAATCCGTCTATCGTTCAGTGGCGTACTCACATTACGGTGAATTTCGCGGCGGGATGGCGTCCTAATTTCAGAATCCAATAGATTTTTGCAAAAAAGAGACTTCTATTTTTCCTGGTTTTTGTTGTTATCTTATCTGTGAAAAAAATGTGTTTTTTTTTAGAAATGGCGAAGACAAAGGCCAAGCCCGGCACCGTCAAGCACCGCTCGAGCGACACGGACCCGAACTTGCAGGATGAGGCGAACTCTCAAGTTGTGGCTGAGGTGGCTGATGGAAACAAGGCTGGAGCCCTGCCTACGACCCCAACTGGACCCAAGGTAACTTTATGACTTTCTATGACTCTTGACCGTGCTTGCCTTGCCTTGCTGGTTTTTTTTAGGAACACAAAGTTAGCTTAGAAATTCGTTCGCAATAGGTTGTGCTGGATATAACATTGGTTTCAGATTCCGAAGAAGAAGAAAGCTGGCGCTGCGAAGGCTAAGAAGAATGTACAGGCGCAAGGAGACGATGCTGCAAAGGCTGACAAAAAAAGCCCGGCGAAGAAGAGCCACGCAGTCGCCCCGCCAGCCCCGGTGAAGGCGACCGGCAAGAGCCCAGCCAAGAAAATCCAAAGCAACACGATTCCGAAGAGCCCTGCAAAGAAAGTTCAAGGAAAATCTGCTATCTCGAAGAGCCCCGCCAAGAAACCTGCAGTGAAGGCAGTCAGCAATGTTTCGAAAAGCCCGGCCAAACAGTCCAAGGGCAAAGCTGCAATCTCGAAGAGCCCCGTCAAGAAAACTGTCGCAGCAGCTCTGAAAGGCCCGGCCAAGGTTCAAGGCTCACATGCCACGCAGTCGACTCCTGTTAAGAAGGTAAAGAAGAACACGAAGGCTGCGTCGGCTGATCAGGCGGTAAACAATAATAAATTATCTCCATCAAAGATTTGTTCTAGGGGCCGAAGGCTGGAGAAGCGCACGGCCGACGCTCATCATGAACAAGTTATCATCCCGAAAAAGAAAGCGAAGGCTGGAACCGTCGTTGCTCAGGCCGAGCATACACCTGTGAAGGTACATACCAGCGATTCGCTCAAATATTTTTGTGAAGGTCACTGCGAAGAAAACTAAGAAGAAGAGGTTGTCGGTGGCCGCTCCGTCGCCTAAAACGGTTAGCGATTGATTCGTCTCTAACCTTAGTTTAGCTCGCCAAAGCTGACGAACCGCCGCCGAAGGTTGCCTCGAAGAAGAAGAAGATGGCTGTCAAGAAACATACAATCCTCACGACTCCTACGGGAAAACCCGGACCAAAGGTTAATAAGATTTTTTTTTGCAAAAACGTTGTTTTAGTTGTCGGCTGGAAAGTCTCCCGCGAAGTCGCCGAAAAAGAAAGCTATTGCCAGCCATCATGGAACTTCAGCGCCGGTAGATGAATGCTTCATATAAAACTGTTATTGTTGGTTCAGATTGCCAAAGCCCCCAGCTCGCCCCAAGCCGCACCAGCCAAGAAGGTATAATTTCGTACATTTGGTGAGATATAGTTTTAGATACGCTCTCAAGCTGCTACCGGCACTGCCCAGAAATCGGCCATTACGAAGCCCGTTGTTGTCACCAAGAAGAAAACTCCAAAAAACAGAAATAACCAATGATTTGCCCTTGCTCTTATTCACATGCACATTGTCACTATAAATTATTTTGTATGCGCGGTTACACTACCTAGTTTCCACTAACCACAACTTTTTTTTGAAGACATTCCTGCGTTGGGCAAGATGATTCGTGTTCACTACTAGGATAATGGTAGCTGCTGCGTCTTTTTGAAGACTCGTGTTTTGGCATCAATTCTATTTTATCGGAGTGAAAATGTACATAGAATCAAATACAATCCGTTAGTGAACACTAACTGGCGAGCTAATATTAAAAACTATCATTGTAAAGAAAAGCGCAGCTCTCGTCTATCCTTTAATCGAATCCAAGTCGGCGATGACGTATTGATTGCCCGTCAATCGGTGGTCGCGTTTCGTCAGGGCCACCCTACAATGAACGAATTGAGAGATCAATTAGGTCGCTTACCGTTGATTGGTACCATAATTCCTTCGGTATGCGCGGCCCACGTCCCATTTGTTGAACGGGTAGGAGAGATAGCAGGCTGCGGCGACGAACGCCAACGTGATGCCGCCCGAGTAGACCTGCTCGAACCACATGAGCCGCTGAAAACAAAGTATAGTGAAGAGAGAAGACGAAAAGGTTAGCAAACGGGCGAAAACAGGGCTATTTCAGAACCGAGCCACCATCGCAGGTTCCCGGGCCCTTTTTTGTGCGACTTCTGAAAAACGCTATCCCAGATTATAAATGATACTAACTTCGGCTAGGCTCTGGCTGCATCGAAGCATATAGTAACTTTAATTTAGCCGTAATTTGTCCTGATGGGATGAAAAACGTCAAGAGCCGTCGAGTTTACCCCATATGGCCATGCTAAGAGGCAAAAAAGGTTGCTCACGTTCAGGGACGTAGCGTAATACCGGCCCCGGGCCCCCGACGGCCGGGGCCCGAAAACAAGGGGGCCCATGATTTTCATTTTCAAAATTGCTGCCTGCGGCGCCAATACGGCAATGAAAGCAAGTATATTTCAAAAATCTGCCTGCGGCGCTGTTTTCTCGTGGGTTGGGGTTGGGAAAAAAGGGGCCGAAAATTTTTCCTACCCCCTGCTCACGTTACATATACACATAAATTTTGGGCAGCCATAACTGGCCCGGATTTTGAAATAACGCCTCTAAAATCTCGCAACAAGCATTATATCAACTCTGGAAATATTTAGCAGGCTAACAAAGCGCTCCGAGCATTCACATATATGTTTAAATAATTTATCGAAGACACACAATTTCAAGGCATAAAAGAAAGGACAGTTAGAGTTGCATCGCGTCAGGTCCGCCAGCCGGAGGGGGAGGCGGCGGCTGCTGTCCGGCCGCCTGAGCAGCAGCGTGGGCGGCGGCTCCGGGAGCAACGGCACGGGGCGCGTCCTTGATTCGGTCGAGATGCGGGCGGACACGATCGCCTTCAATGACCTGAAAAAAAACGAATCGGAAATAGGTTGTGACAAATACCTCGAATGCAGTTCCCTTTCCGACGAATGCGATAGACGTATTTTTGATCGACAAGTCTTCCTCGGCGGGCAGGGTGTCGCGGACGGCGACCAGCGCGTGCTCGATCAGCTTATCCAGACTGGCTCCCTGGCCAAAGGTAATTGAATAATAAGATCAAAACTACTACCAGGTACGGCGATACCAGTAAAAAGCGTCAAGATAAGCGGGAAAACAATGATTCATGGTTTTGTTGGCGAGCCGCCAGCGGCGAATAGCGCAAATTACTACTTCGGGCACACGGTTAATGAAGTGAAAGACAAACCTCAAAGTCTTCCAGCTTTTTCTGCAAATATGTGCGGGCCGACTGGCTTCGAGATCCGATTGACGCAGCGTAGCAGGACACCACCTCAGCCGAGGGCTCTGCCTTGACAATATGCGGGCCGTCCTTGTCGAAACCGACGATGAGCAGCCCGACGCCGAATGGGCGCCGCCCGTAGTATTGCGTGTTCGCCTGCAGCTTCAGCTGGAGACGGTCAGCAAGCACGGTTAGCGGTACGGCAGACTGAAATTTCACAAATATCTAGTCACCGAGGGTTATAATACCTTGTAATCCCAACGCCAGCTCGAGCACTCGGTTTGAAGGAAACGGGTCAGGATGCGGCCATCCGAGAGGAGGCCTATAAACAACAACGTCAGGCACGGAAGACAAATTCGTTACCCGCAATGGAAGCACCCGTGTGCGTGTCGAGCTCGAAGATTTTCTTCTGATGCGAGCACAAGTCGGAGGTGGCACGCTAGAATCGTAGATTTCAGAACGAAGAGAGGTCCAAACTTTCAATGCAACCACGACGGCATGCGTCTTGCTCTTGATGGCCACGGTGGCGCTACCCTGCTTCATCGCTTCCACGGCGTAGTCCACCTAAGATGATTTGTGATTCGCGCAACGATTCTAACCTGATGGAGACGGCCCTGCGGGGACCAAACGGTCACATCCGAGTCGTATTGGTTCCGGAACATCCCTAAAATGAAGAAATAGTTGCAGCTAAAGGTAAGATGACAAAGAAATGAGATTTCTACAAGTTCAGAGGAATTTTCGTAATCGCACGAAGAAACAGAGCGGTTTTTGAGCCCGTTGTATAAACGAGGGCGCGCTATTTTAGGCTCTCGGATAGATGCATTCGTTCTAAACGCGCAAAGATAAATATTTACAGAGATTTATGATTATTTTAGAGTTCTTTCGCGAAGACAAGCAAAAAAGATCTCGGCTGGACGAGGGATTGGCCTATTGCCAGTCATCCTATCGTACTCAGCCGGGGCGCGATTTAGCAACCGCCCCTCGTTTTCATGCCGTAATGCCCCGCCGGTGTGATTTTGATTTTTCTAAAATTTGAACAAGCGGAAACGAAAATTACCAAATAAATTTTTTTTTGTATAATTTGTATAGTTTGAGCATTCGAGGTGTTTTTGTGGTCATAACAGTCTTGTAAAGTAATTCTTTAAAGGTATACTCACGTAATAAGCCTTGTACAACGTAATGTAACTTATTAGATGGTCTAATAGGCAAAATAGCGATTATTTAACAGCTGAATATCATTGCTAATTTTCGAATTATTAAGCTAGGTATGCAATGCCTTATCAACGAGTTAAAAATAAGTATCTTTGTTGTTGTTTTACTTCAAAAATTGCTTTTGTAGCTACTAGAAACTACGTTATAATTTGCAAAGATGGAATTTTTCTGGGGACATATGGCACACAATTTATCGACTTTGGCATATCACAAATGGCAATGACGAGAACCCGTAATGAATGACCTGTTTTTCATCACAACTGGCAGTGAAAGAGCAGAAAGGGAAAGACAAACACGGAAAGATTAGGGACAAGTGCTTCTAAATTAAATAACTGGCTACAATGAGGCGATTAGTTCGGGTTTGACGGTGTCCGGTAATGGGCACTCAACGGGGTGGCTCGTGCCGATCGCGGGAGCACCGAGTGACAACCGATTGTCACCTAGAAATCGGAGTTGAGAAGAGTTACTGGATTCCATAAAATGGGTTGGTTTTCAAATTTTATTCATTGGAAGATAAATGTTTTAATCTACCCCCTGAAATATCTAAATTGTCGAAAACTAGATTTTCACCCCCTCTCCCCAGGTGCAAATGACGTTTAAAAATCTTGTTTTTGCTTATAGTTCTTTATATTGCATTATTTTTAGCTAAAATCAAGACTCATAGTGTAGCTTTTTCTTCTCTATCGAATGGCACCTTCAAAAGGTCGATAAACCTTTCAAAAAATGTGGTAAAAATTCACACTTCGACCATTTCGTGATTTTTTGTTTTTGTTGTAACTTTTCTATACTACAGGATTTTCGAGTGTCATTGCAACACCTAGTATATTTTTCGATGCTCTATCAAATCACGTTAAAAATGCGAAAATATCGAAAATTTTCGGTGAAATCTTACCGGAACGGTAGAGCGGACGTATTCCCATCTGCCGGTGGCCGGATCACAGTTGGTCCGCTTCAGAATCGGCACTTCGCGTTTGATCGGCAGGCAGAAGGCCACTGAAAAGCGCTTTTTGTAGCTGCTTTAATAGATTGCTCTATTTTCATAGGTAATATAGTTGTATTTTTATAAGACTGGCTCGATGACTTACCCGACCCGCCGCGACTCCTCCGGCATATGCAGTGGGCCTCGGAGATGATCTTTGGCTCGCGCGCTTCATCGTAGTTCACCCTGCAAATGACGATTAGGTGACGGTGTATTTTGCGATTTCAGAGTAAAGGTTCCTTAACGGGGGGCAGTAATTAAAGGGCTGCCGACGGCATGTGTCGATCCCCCCTCATCAACAAATTGGCAAGTAGCCAACAGGGGAGAGAGCGCGCCCTGGGGAGAGGCGCAGAGACATTTTCTTTTCTGCGCGTAATCGATTGACTATGCCGTCGGCATCATCCCTTTAAGCATTGTCATTTTACGAAAAGTTCACTAGTTAGCTTATGTTTTTGCGTGTAAAGTATACCATTTTAAATTAAATTTTAGTGCGAAAATCAGCTTTCTATTCTTTCTTTATGATTTTGGCTTTCTTTCTACCCGATGACTGTTTTCAAAATAACTTAAAAGACTTGCTAGTAAGTCACTAGACATTTCTAGGCTGCTGTAAAAAATACGGTTCCGCTTTTAAGCAACATGTACCGATGTCAGCGCTACTGTGGTTTTTTTCATAGCTTGTAACTCACCGCCATTGCCACGGACACAAGGATCTTTGCATGACGGAAGAATCAGTGGATGTATCGGGCATTCCCTGACAGATCGGATCCTGATCTTGTGGAGGACTCCAGTCTTCATCCGAGATCTCTTCTCGAACGCTGCCCTCCATCAACGACTCCCGCAACCAGGCCGACATTTGTTCTTTCTGCAAAAATGTACATTTTCAAGGGTTACTAACTATTGCCAAACACCTTCTCGAGGGCTTTTGCATTATCGGGGGTGGGTAATTTTTTGTGTCATTCCAGAAATTCCTAGGAAGTATTTTAATAATGTTATTAACAAATTTAATAAACTTTCAAGTGGAAAAATTATCGAAAAACTTTCAAAATTCGACATTGTGTTTGAAAAATCGATGCTTTTCTTGTATTTTTTAGTATTTTGTAAAGTATTAGTAATTTCAGAAATTCCTAGTCACATAAACAGGGTAGTAAGTTTATTAATAGGGTTTTTAGCACAATTTAACAAGATTCCAAGGTTCCATTTTCTAATTTGTAACGTTTTTGCGTTTAGTAATAATTTCAGAAACTCCTAGTAACGTGATCGTAAGTTTTTTAACAGAATTTTTGGTACAATTTAACAAGATCCCAAATGGAAAAACTATCTAAAAACCTTAAAAATTCGAAGGTTTTGTTAAAAACAGGTAATTTTGGTTGAAAAATCGATGTTTTTTGTATTTTTTAGCATTAATTTGCAAATTTTTGCCTTTTAGTAATTGGAGAAAAACGAAAATAGTTGATGTTTAAAGTATATAGTTTCTCATTTTAGCTTTTTAATCCTTTGATGATGTTCTACACCTTTTAGAGAAACGATAATCATCCGTTAAACTACAGCTTTCACCCCCTAATCACCTGCCGGGAACTGGCAGCTAACATGTGGTGCGCGCCAGAAAAAGCACCGGTTTCGCCCCCCGGCGCCCGATGGCACACCACGGTCTCACTTTCGCCCCCGGTTTTGGCTTGGCATTTCCTTCATCCATCTCTCTCTCTCTCTCTCTCTCTCTCTCTCTCTCTCCTCTCTCTCTCTCTTCCTCTCTCGCGCATTACGTATATTATGCCTCCTCTCTTTGATATGGCAAAACAAGAAATGGTGGTTGGAAAGTGACACGGTATAATGATTGATAGATACCCCGGCAGCGGGGTATTGTCGCGTCGCTGTCGTTGCGACCCGGTTATGGCATCGCTTCTCGCCGGCAGCTTGGTCATCTACTGGCAAAATGCATGAAAACCAGTGACAAAGATGTTAATAGCCTTTTTCTTCTAAAAAAACCGATCGAACGCTTGGCCTAATGGGTAACTTCTTGCCTACCGAGCGGTGGACCCAGGTTGGAGTCCGTGGCTCCGGAATTTTGTTTTTTTTTATAGCAAAAAGTCACGCTTTTGAATTAAAAGTTTTACACCGTTTTTTAGCAAATCAAGCTATAAAGAGCATTAAACGAATTTGCGATAAGTTTGTCGAACATTGTTTTGTTGAAGTATCAGTTTGTCGAAATTTTAATTCTTCGACAAAATGAAAAAGTACCATTAAAAACTACAACCTGATAGAAACGCCGTGTTTTATCGGAAAACCCTATTAAAAATTATGAAAAAATTAAATTATTTTTGGCTTTTTTAATCAATTCCAGACCAAAAAAATTTTTTTAAAACTTGCTAAAATAGCTTCTGATAACATCCAAAAACTAATGAAAAACGTCTAAATTTCCGATTTTCAATTACTTAGAATATTATCTTTTGTTTCGGATAACTAGTTACTAAAATAGCTCCAAAATACGTTAATTTGGTGATTAACAGGCTATCCCATGTTTCATTGAAAACTTTTGGACATCTGCCAAAAGCTGTCTTTGCTAAACTTTGTCCCCGCCACCGTACACCCCCGGCTAGCGCCCAATGATCATCATGACTGTGAAAGTGATGGATTGTCGTCTTCTTTCTTCTACCCGACCGTCAGAATCGGACCGTAACGCCCTGGCGGGGGGTGGAAGTACGGTTTTAA